TTATAACAGCTTAGCATCCTTATCACATACAAACATGGTTTTGCACGACGAGAAATATCAGAAGGGAAGGGCACTCGATTACTCTACGAAGACACGACATGGAGCGCAAGTCATCGCAATACATTACAGAAGGTGAAGTAAGTCAGCAGGAACAACATTATCATCATTCGTTGCGTTCGGGTCATTTAAGAAGCGGCATCCATATCAGTATCAACACCGTCTACATCGCTGGTAAATTCAAGCCGCAACAACTTCGTCAACTTGCACAGGAAGCAGCATTGCGGAACATAACAAGGTTTGAGAACCTAGTATTAGCAGAACGGCAATATCATTCGACTCAATTATAATTTCTTGTTTTAAGTAGAGTTTAGGAGTAAAGTATTGTTAATATGAGAAAGCATATATCATATCATTGATTAAATTTAATATTTAAGTATCAATTAAACCAATGTGGAGACAACCACTGATATCATTTATATCATTGAGGAGACATCCCTTATTTATAATATATTTTTTTTATATTTTTTATCAATTGTAACTTGTAGCAAACAATCTACATTACAAATCAATGAATTTAGCACATAAGTATCAATTATAGCATTGTAGGGACACCCTACTTTATATATCATTCAATTAGTATTTTTTATAATTTAAAACATTGTGGAGACATCCATTGATATCATTTTGTAGCATTAAGGTGACTTGCTATAATTATCATATCAATCAATTCTATTTTTTATCAATCGTAACTTGTAGCAGACATTCTAAGTTACAAATCAATTAATTTAGCTTAGCTTTACTAACTATCAATTAAAACATTGTGGAGACATCCACTGGTATAATTTTTGTTAGCTCTATCATACGAGTCAACTATCATTTCTTGTTTTAAGTATCATTTTAGAGAGATAATGTTATTGTGCTACATACATATCATATTTATTAATTGAGCATTTTTTATCAATTTAAACTGTGGAGACTTCCACCGAATATCATTTTCAATATCAATCAATTTAGCAATTTTAACGTTGTGGGACCACCCTACTTAACTTAGCATTAAATTACCATACTTTATCAATTTTAACATTGTGGGAACACCCACTGACATCATTTTTATCAATCATTAAGTCTAAGGAGCACCCTAGACTAGATCTTTGCAAAAAGTAAGTAAGGTTCGGAAAATGTGGTCGAACTAAGTTTTAGCATAAGTCATAACATTGCTATCATATTATCAAGAATGCAACAAACATATAATGTTTCATAATAATATCTATCAATTAATTAGCAAAATTATGCTGTTATTTCTATGTAATAATTTTAGGTCAAGATTTATCATACAAAAACCGAGTTGAGCAAACAGAGATTAATATGCAAAAAAAAATCCATTGCAAGTAGGAAGAATATGTGCAAGTAAAAATAATGTGTGTCACATTCGTATGGGTAAGTGCTAGATTATCAATCATATGCTCGAGTCAATGTAACTATTATGAAGCAAATTTAATTATAGCTGTAATAACGACTGTTTAGATCTTTACTTATAAGTTTTCATTGAAGACATAAATAGGTAAAAAGCTACCTTCTTAGTAAGTTGTTGTGGTTGTAAACATTATTTATAAAATAATTTGGTATCAAAATTGTATACCTTTGTGTTTTTAAAATGTAAAAGGATGTTAAAGTCGAAATCAATGAGTTTATTATTTAAAATGTTTCTAAAACAAAGTGAACTGCATTTAAGTTAAATCAAAATATATTTTATAATTTCATACATTAAGTCCTCACCGGAAAAATCATCGAAAACAATTCATCGAATTACAATTCTTCGAACACAATTCATCGAAAAAATAATTCGTCGAACAACAATTCTTCGAACGGTAATTCCCCGAAAAACAAAAAAGTAAACCATTCTGATCCAGACAACCCATTTATTGCCCCAGACGGTACTCACACGCAGAGGATCGAGTCCCAGTGGAGGGCTGTCAAAAGATATTTCAGAAAAGATAATTATAACCATCCGCACGATTTTGCAGATTCGATTGTAGAATATTTGTGGCGCAGAAACATAATTAAATATAAAAAAGACGCGTTTTTAGAAACAATTAATGCCATAAAACATGTATACAAAATAAATTAATGTGTAGAATTTCATGCTTTTTATATTTCATATTATTAGTGACAGAACCGAAGTGGGGCGGGGGGGCGCAGCGTTTTTTTTGTTGTTTTTCTTTTCTTTTTAAATTGGCAATATGTGCGAGTCACGTACAGTAATCTTGTATATCTGCAGAGCAAGCATAACCTACTTTAATCACGTTTATGTATCTAAGAAATGCATCATATTATGTCATTGTATTAGGTAGTGTCAGTTCGCCAATTCGCGTCCATTTTACGGATCTCCCTTAAAAAATCCTCAAAAATAAGTAAACTAACACACCAATTAAACGAAAATTAATTACCGCTAATACCTTAATATATAAGAGGCACGAACATGTGGTCAAAAGGTAGGTGCGCCAAACAATCCCGTTTAAAAAAAAATAGTCTCGGTTATTCATCAAGGGAGTGCGTACACGCGGGATGTTTAGATAAAAAATAGTGTGCAGCGGCGCGTTCGATGGTAAGTTTTTCATTTTTTTATGTTAATTTTAGGATACATAGCTGTTTCTAGACTTTTATAGTGAAGAAAGGAATGATATTAATTATAAATTTTCTTATGTTTTTTTATATTTAATGAATAAAATAAGGTGGACGCAAATTACTACATCGAAATTACAAAACTTCCAATGGACGCAAACTATACCTACAGGAGATAATAATAAACCAAATTGCGTCCACCATTTTCTTTAAATATAATTAATTAATTATAATTTAAAATATATTATTATTATTATTATACATTTTTATTAAGACTACGTGTTTTTAATGCTATTTTTAAATGAAATGAGTAATTTCAATCAATCTATCTGTTACTTTATTTGTTTCATTCTTACTTTTTTTCTATTTGAGATGAGTTCTTCGGAGACAAGAAAGTATAAAGAAAAGAGAATATACACAGAAGACGATTTAAAGAAAGCGTTAAATGAAATTCGAGAAAAGAATAAATCGGTAAGACACATAGACATATTGTACAAAATCAGTGGGCGCAAACCAAATAAAGTAAAGAAACCGGGACCAGACACCACCTGATGCTACCCGAAATTTCTAACGAAGCACAAAAAGATAATCAAAGAACTCTAGCAACCATATCTTCTGCTGCATGGAGTAAGTATTAAGAAGATTAAGAGCAGATCAAGAACGAAAAACAGGAAGCAATACGAAAAAGAAAGTTAGAACGAATAGAGAAACAAGAACACAGTTTAAAACACTCTCAAACGGTTCGTAAAACTGCTCCAAAACGAAAGAAGAAGGAACATGCTCTTCAAGAAGTCACACAGAAAATGGTAAATCAGGAATTTAAGAAAGAAAATTTTCTGAATGTGACGATATACTAATTTCAGGTGTAGAAGACGTCGATGAGAAAAACATACCTTATGATTTTAGGGTAAAATTAACTGAACTGATTACTGTTTATTCTTAAAGATGCAATCATTATTTACCTACTACTTATATAATTTTAAATTCAATCAACATTGAGAAGAATATTTTTTATTTTTTTAAAGTGATAATTTTAATGATAATAATGTTGGTTTTAATATTTATATTCTAAAATAAAGAAATTGTTAAAATAGGTACAATCTTTCTACACAAATTCTTAAAAATATCACCCCTATATTCCTTTTCTAAGGTGGCGGACGCTAAATGGTCCACGGGTGGACGCAATTTGGTTTTTGTGGACGCAAAGTGGGTAAAACGCCTTATTCCGAAGTTTATCTATATAAATAAAAAACAATAGATGTTTCGAACAAAACTGAAAGTTAATCTTAAAATAGACTATATAATGAACACATTACATAAATTTGTCATAGAAATTAGTGCTGGGATGTGTTTATTATCGCCGTCAAACTTTCCAACTGCACTAAATGGACGCGAACAGGCGAACTGACCCTATATAAAAACATTTACTTTTCTTAATAAATCAATGCTCATCATGCATTCAACAGGATCAGTTGTCTTGCTTCCTTAACCTAATATCATTATGTAGGGGGTCACCCCTACATAAGTAAAGTTTTGAAAGAAAAAATAAAATAGAAAAAATAAGTTAAAAAATAAAAATCGCAGTTTTATAAACTTTTGAGAAATCACAATTTCATTAACCGGCCGGCGTCAATTACGTAGGTATCTATGGGTATTGCTTACCGTACATTTTAATGTCTAGACACTTTTGACACATTTTGTGCTTTGATGTCTATACTTATTAATATTAGGCAAAAATACTTGTCAAATTGTTAAGAAAATAAGTACTAATTTTTAGAGTTATGCGTATTGCGTCACACGAATAAATAATCCTGTTTTCATGTCACACAGCACAGAATAGCATACTATTATCCTTGACGTGGAGGTTCTTACTGCCAGTCAAACATTGTACACGAGAAAAATCTACCGTATTAAAATAAAAATTATCGTACAACAATAAATGATAATTAAATATTTAATTGTATGATATTTACAATAACAATATATACAGGAACAATGAAACTAAAACTAAAAACCTTAAAAAATATTATAGAATAACTAAAATATATTATTAAAAGGAGTCCCTTTAGGCAAGGTTCCGAAGATACTGGCAGCGTTCCCCCTTTGAATAGCTACACTAATTCTTTGATATAATTTTTGTTATATATTTTTTTGTTATTATTTTATTTTTATTAAATGATAATTTATTCCTGGATATTAAATCTATATAAGTGTTTATCACTCCCCTCTTCCTATCAAATATATAAAAGTCGAAATGCAGGCAACATTGCAGGTCTGTAATCATGTAGATAATTCAATGTTTTCGCAAAGTCATTGCGGTGTTAACGATATTGGGCAAAGTCTAGAGATATATGTAATTTATCTACGAGTAAACATTCACCTTTCGCCAGTGTCGGCGCACTAACCTGTACCTAACACTCTCTAATCAGTTTATCACGATTAAAATTGTTTTAGCAATATCAATTAAGTGTGACGTCAATATTCACATAACATTATTGAATAATAACTCGTTTGACAGCGGCAGTGGGTGGCCGTATACAAACAGTAGCTAAGGATAAGATGTCGACGGAAACAAAGTGTAATCCTGATCTAGTGCGAGAAAGAGCTAAGTGCACTTTCGATGTCAATGAACTTATAAACCTATTTTACGGAAGCGAAAAAGCGACAAAGGAAAGAAGACACTTTGGTGAGTTGAGTACTTTGTAAAATCACTGTCAAAACAAAACCGGCCCACTACTTTACATTTCAATTCTCACATGATTGCGTCATTACACAGAGCGGCCATAGAATAGTCGCGGATATGGCTATTAGAATGTCTTGTTCACTTATTTGTAAATTCAAAATAAAAACTGAGCGAAAAGTGAACGAAACGAGACACACAACAAAAAAAATTTACAAATAAAATACATAGCGATATCATTATCTTCGGTCGATATAACATTTTGTCATGAGATTGTACATATTTGAACTTTGGACGAGAATACTAAATGGAGGCGCAAGATAACACTGTTCTGTGGAGCTATATTTAACTTACTCTTACCGCTATACACGTGTTGCCAGCTAACGCATTCCTACTTCTTACTACACTAATGTGTTGCCCGACAAATTTAATTTTGTTTTTTAATATGTTTGGTAGATTTTTAATGCCATTTGTAATTCGTAACGTAGGTACTTGATTGATGAAATCCTGATCATATCTCTCGATGTAGATTCAATCGATCGATCGATTTCAATCATCTTGATAATAGATAATTGAAATGTATAGTAAAATAAATGTTTAGCATAACGGATTTAGGTAGGTAAATATCTTTATAATATAGTCGTTATGAATTCAGTTTCTCTGATGATTACTTTAATTTCCAATCTTACGTAGAAGTCAGTCATTGGTCATACTCTAACTATAGTAGGCGATTGGATAGTAACTCAACCGTCTATAGTTTAAAATAAAGTAAAAATTAAACAATATTTAGTAAAAATAGAAGCGACTACAAAAAAACTGAATCACATAAAATAAGATTTACCGACTGATATTCTGAAGTCGATTCCATATGATTTGTTATCGACTTCAAATATATCAGCGGTAATTCTTTTCATTTTCAGTTTTTTGAAGCCAGCTTTTTTAATTAACATACTTTTTCCATTTTTTAATACGAAATACTGGTTTTACACACACATGTTGATAGGAAGAGTGGCGCATGAGACACTGTTAGTATATTCTATACTAAAACCTTCCCTTATAAATGCGCATTTATTTAACGAAAACCCCATTCTTCCAGAGGACGCGGTGTTAGCAGTTAAGGAACTCAAAGACGCTATACCAGAGGAGTACCTAAGCCACAAGGAGCGCTATGAGAACGGAGTCAGGAAGGCTACCATCCTTCGGGATGTTTACAGGGACTACAAAGCGAAACACAACAGGGAGTAAGTTACACTTACATAGGTCAGGTACATCATAATTTACAGGATCGACAAATCATGAAAGGACTGGGTTTTTTTATAGGATTCACCATAATAATTTAATTCCAAATAAAGAAGTTGCATTACAGACCATCTTGCTTCAGTATTTAAAACCAACGACGGGGATAATGTATCGGACGGTTCATATGTAAATAAGGTTTTGCAATAGTAAATTCAAATAGATGTTCCAATTCAACCAGCAACACCTCGAGAAATTACCACGCTTATTAGAGGTATGTATGACAAAAAAACACCGGGATTCGACATGATAGATAGAAAAGTGCCAAAGGACGTTCTACGAAAAGGACTAGTCAGTTCTGATGAATAGTATGATGATTAATTCTCGCTAATCATTATTATTGCAAAATCTGGAAAACTACCCCATGATATAACATCTTATCGACCAATTAGTCTATTTATTACCTGTTATATCCAATCTTTTCGAGAAAATTTTGCTTTAACGTTTACTCTGGAAACTCAAAGAAAAGTAATCATTCCAGATCACCAGTTTGTTTTCAGAAAGGAACATAGTACTATAGAGCAGGTCCACAGGGTGTGCAAATTCATTAAAACACTTTTGAACGCAAAGAACGTTTAGCAGTTTTCCTAGACGTGTAACAAGCTTTTCATAAGGTTTGGCACATAGATTTATTGTGTAAAATCAAAATGCCACTCCCCTTCTATGGAATACTGAAATCATATTTGAAAAACAGAATTTATTAAGTTAAAGAAAATGATTGCACATCAGCTTTTCTACTATTGGACGGAGTACCTCAAGGCTCAGTACTCGAACCGGTTCTATACACTATCTTTACATCGGACCTACCAAAAACTCCTTTAGACCAAACCGGGAACAACAGTGGCTACTTTTTCTGTTGATACCGCAGTGCAGGTCTCAGAAATATTAAAAAAAAACCTTACAATCCTCGATCAATGGTTAAAAAGTGGAAGATTATAGCAAATTCTTCAAAATCGGTTCATATAACATTCACTTTAAGAAAGGATAAATGCCCACAAGTGAAAAAAAAACAAAGGAATTAACCTCCACATTCGGGTGGCAAGGATGCAAGTGATATTTTTGTATAGCTAGCGTCTTTAGGCTTTATGACCGCTAATAAATAAACCGCTTTAAAGAAATAGGTATAATGACTGTTGCCTCTCAATACATTTACAATTGTATATTGTTTGTGCGTCAGAACATAAATTTATATACGAGGCGCGATGATGTACATAATTTCAATACCAGAAATAAAGATAAACTCAAATTGCCACCGTTGAGACTCCAAAAGGTTCTTGGTTCATTTGTGGGTCAAGGTGTATGTTACTATAATAAAATACCAAAAGAAATAATAAATTTACCTTTTAATAAGTTTAAAGTGCGTATAAAAAACTAGTCTCCTTAAGAAAGGTTACTATACAGTTAAAGATTTTATAAATGATAAGGCACCTTGGGCTTAATATACTAACTAAGTCGTTTTACTTTACTAATTTGGTTGAAAATTGTTAGTTATGCTTAACTTATTGTTAATTAATAATATTAATGTGATGAAATATGACATCAACACATGTTTTTAGTTTTGATGTCATCTTTCAATTGACGACACAGTATGAAACAAAACAGGGAGCAAAAAAATAGCCCTTGCTGAGTTTCTTGCCGGTTCTTCTCGGTACAAGGTCTCCCGCCGTAGATTTACGAACCGATGACGTAGCGTTTGACTTTCACAAGAGCTTGTAACAGCCTAGACTGAATAAATGAGTTTGAGTTTGAGTTTAGAATAAGATCGATAATTTTGTTTTAGTCCACCTCCAAATCAAATCACTAAAGCTGTGATCAAGGATATATCTCCATTCTTGCTTCACAATGGCATGTTCGTGCCCACCATCGCGGGTCAGGGCACCCCAGAGCAGCAGGCAGAGTGGCTGCCCAAGGCCGAGAGTATGCAGATCATCGGAACCTACGCTCAGGTACACGCGTGATATGGATATATAGAATGAGCTTGATGTTGTAGGTGGGTAGCGCATTGGGCCTACGATCCTAAAAGTTAAGCAACTTTCGCAATGGTAGGCAAGGGCGGATCCAGCTTTGGCGCCAGGGGGGGGGGGGGGGTCATATAGTCGTGGTCAAGTCACAATGGGTACAGATTGTGAAGTGGGTACACATGGACCCCCCTCCCTGGATCCGCCCTTGATGGTAGGTCATTGTTAAGCCTTTGGTCCCGGCTGCATCTGCAGTCGTTAGTACCCACCAATCCGCACTGGGCTCGCGTGGTGCGCCACGACCCAGTCTCCCTATTCCATCAGGCCTGTGCCCCAGCAGTGGGCATTAATAGGCTGATAATGATGAAGGATATATCTGTCAGATATGGTTGGCGGGAGCCGTGGCTGTGTGGAATGTCACTATTTTAATAATCCTAGAATAACGATGTGGGTTTTGCAATAATTAACTTAATATTTGATTTGTATAGATATATATTATGTGTAAATGCTGTTTGTTATCCTAAATAAATATAATAAAAATGGAATAATTTTAATGCTACAGGTATTTTAGTTTTCTATTGGGTGAACCAAATGCAGTTTTTCGCTCGGTATTGGTATTGGACGGACCAACGTCGTTACATTAACAATTTGTATTGACATTAGTTCTACTGGTTACGCAGGATCAGCCACGAAACGCAATAGACAAATGGCCATCTTTCTGATTGAGCGCACAGTGATGCTAAAATTAAAATTCTAAAATTACGCAAATTTTATATTTTTATACTTTCGACGAAATGAGAGATCTAAGTCTTAACGTTCCTCCCGAAAGGAAGATTAAGTCTTAGATCTCGTTTTAAGCATTCATTGTCATGCATTAGGTTTCCATTGGATATAGTTTCATAGTATTTCTATGTATTTTACTTCTACTTATCATTTATATATTACATTTATGATACATAAAGTCCAACATTTAAAATTTCAGACGGAGCTTGGTCATGGCTCTTTCATACGAGGGCTGGAAACGATCGCAACTTACGATCCAAAAACTGAAGAGTTTGTATTAAACAATCCAACTCTAACTTCCTTTAAGTGGTGGCCTGGTGGATGTAAGTATTACCAAGACAATTTTAAACTATACTCTAACACATCAAAGGTTCAAAACAAATAAGAGTAATAACTGAAGTTCAAAAACGGTTCCTTTTATCTTAAAATCGGGACTGAAACTCATATATTTATTTTTAGTGGGAAGTACAGTCAACCATTGCGTAGTGGTTGCCCAGTTGTATATAAACGGAAAATCGCACGGCATACACCCGTTCATTGCTCAAATTCGGGACCTCGATACTCACAAGCCGCTGCCCGGTGTGAAGGTTGGCGAGATCGGGCCAAAGATGGGCTTCCAGACGGCCAATAACGGGTTCTTAGGCTTTGACAATTTTAGGATACCTAGGAAGAATATGCTCATGAAGAATGCTCAAGTTCTAAAGGTATATATTATTGTCTCTGAAACAGAATCAATACTTACGAAGCGAATATAAGGTACCAGTTAAATCCCAACCGTATGTGGCAATTGCTATGAAATGTTTTACTTCTAATATCAGCAATTGTTACGTATGCAATGTTTTGATTTTCAATTCTGCTTGTCGTTCTAGGTTAAAATAAATTGCCTTGGTAAAATACGATTTCCAGTTAATGCAATATTGTAACAAACAGCTTTAATAGGAATTGTGAATGAGATACGGATGAAGTTTGACGTTCAAATTCTGAAACGAATATCATTCTATTGTTTTATTTATTTGACATAGTATAAAGTTTCAGAAGGACTGACCTACAAACAATTTAATTTTCCAGGATGGAACATTTGTGAAGGGTATAAACGAGAAGTTGACCTATGGCACCATGGTGATGGTGCGCGTGGGTATAGTGGGTGACTGCTCCTTCTACGCTGCACTGGCCGCAACCATTGCCGTTAGATACTCCGCCGTAAGGCATCAGTCCCATATCAAAGCTAGGTACGTGTTTTATCTCCATCTTTGTAAATCCAAGGCACCTATTTAGTTCCAATTATTTAGCTTCAAACTAAGCATTACTTGTTCTATAGTTGCCATTAACAACGGAACAAGAATACACACCTATGTACTTAGGCAAAAATGACTGGCTTAAGAACAATATTTGTTCAGAATCACAACATTAATTCTCCTACCCGAATTCCAACCCATAATCTTCGGATCAGAAACCAGGATAATAATCGGACCATAATTGTATTGCCTCGACTTAAAATAATAAGAGGAGGTTGTAGAGAGAGAGAGAGACAGAAAGCTTTAGGAAAATTGGGTTTCTTATCCGTCCCCATTTCTTATAACTAGAAATAAATAAAAACTATAGTAGATTCTATTAATAAACAGTGAGCCCGAAGCTCAGATCCTGGACTACTTGACCCAACAGCACAAGTTGTTCATCGCCGTCGCGTCTAGCCATGTATACAGAAATGCATATCTATGGATGGAAAAGATGTATACGAACGTCATGAAAGAGCTGTCTCAAGACAAACAAGACAATTTACCAGAGGTGGGTATGGTCAGATAGCTAGATATTCAATTAAACACAATAGGGAAGATGCAATATTTTTATTTTTGTTTTCATTTTAAAGAATTCCATGTAGAATAAACCACAGATATATTAAAAAATTAAAACATTGTGATTTATCGGAAAAAATGCGGTTTTAAATTGACAATTTAAATTTTCGCGCGAAAACGAACCTATGGTGGCGATGACGTCACTCCTGTCTGTCACTGGTCGTAATTGTTCGTTGCTGGGTTTAAATTTTCATACTTTTGCATATTTTTTCGACTTTCGAAATATTTTTTTGAAAAATTTAAAATGGACTATCCATCAACATCATGTGATCATAACAATACCACTAATATTCCGAAAAAAAGCCGTGTTGACTCATGTTTTGTGCCAATCTACTTCAACAAAGTTCCCAAATAAATTGTTTTTGACTGGAACTTCTGACCCAAAACTGAAAAAAAAATGGTTTCAAGCTGCGAAGAGAAATGACAATTATTCTCCAAAGACCATTATTCGATGCTGAGAAGATCACTTTGACGTAAGTTGGCGAATATACTTGTTATATGCTTAATTAATCTGCTTGTACGTAAAAACCCATTAGTAACCTACCTAATAACGCTAACTCTTGGTAAATTCCTGGAGTCTGCTTTGATAAACGCAACTTCCATTTTTATTAAATGTAAAAAACGCAATAAATATTCCCATTAAATAATATTTACTTTAACAACCATAACCTCAAAGAAGTTGTCATTACAGGAGTGACGTCACTAAACGCTGATTGGTGTTTTAAAATACGTTCCGTTTCAAGTATTTTTAATTCGCAATAATTGTTAAAAAACAACATTATGTAAAATAAAAACGTTGCAGTGGCATTTCTTTTATATTTTTTTAACATTTCAATCATAAAATTTTCATAAATATTATATATGCATCTTCCCTATTAAAATCTAGGTATTCTGCTGAATAAATATTTAGCTTCTTGATGGGTTATTGATAGGTATCACTTTAAATGCTTAAAACCCGTTTAATCTTTATCGCCTACTTGAAACCCGATACTTGTTTTTTCTAACGCGTGATTGTTTACGCATCTGGCGCGTGGATTGTGAGAGCTATAGTGTAAAATTAAATTGTGGGAGTATGGTATTTTATGATTTTATTTGGTAAGTTATAATAGAATGTGCAAATAACCAAAAAATCTGCACATGAAATTTTAAAATTTTGAAAATATACTACCCATCGAAACGCCTTTTTTTATCTTTCCCGAGTTTACCGTAACGGCGCGTGCGCTAGGCCGCCCCAGAGGTTAAGATCACAATTAATGTTGATAGAAATTTTACCTACGTGATTGGTAATGGTAAGTCTTGTTATCGTTTTGATCTAAAAAGCTCCACGCCACTGCTTGCTGCCTGAAAGCTGTGTGCTCACGAGACGCGGGCTCGCTGGTGGAGGAGTGTCGCCTGGCGTGCGGCGGGCACGGATACATGGCGTCATCAAATCTGCCCCTCACGTACGGGGTCACCATCGCCGCCGTCACTTACGAGGGCGAGAGGACAGTGCTGCTACTGCAGACTGCCAGGTAAACACAATTCATACATGGTTCTTTTCAATTTGCTTAGCTTTTCAACACTCACACCAATTAGCCTAGCCCCAAAGTAAGCACTGTAAGGCTTGTGTTATGGGATACTAGTGTAACGGATAGAATACATATGTACCGTACATATATCTATATCTTATATATAAAATTCTCGTGTCATTATGTTAGTAACCATACCCCTCCGAAACGGCTTGACCGATTTTTATGAAATTTTATATGCATATTCAGTAGGTCTGAGAATCGGCTACTATCTATTTTTAAAACCCCTAAGTGTTAAGGGTTGTCGACCCCCAACATTATTTTTTTATTTTTTGGGACAATTTTTTTTATTGTTTTTCATTTAAAAATAATAGGTCCACCCTTCTACCATCAAACCCTATTTTTATGGCGGTACGAAGTTCGCTGGGTCAGCTAGTAATTATATAGGAATTCATATCAAACATCCTTTACTGGAGTACGAATGCTCGTAATCATCACACAAACATCTGCCCCCACTGGGATTCGAAACCGGGACCTCTCGAGTCGGCGACACCGTGAAACCTGGGGTGCAAACCACCGGCCACGGAGGTCGCTAAACCTCGTAAAGTAAAATAAGGTTCTTTAATTTAACCCAGCACAAAATTAAGTATCATCCTAGGTAATGATTACTTAGAATCTGTTGAAGAGGAGATGGATATCCTACGGGAATTGGTGCATTCTACTACTATGAAAGTACTACCCGGATAATGTTCCTGCAGACATCTTCCTCGTCCTTAACAACCTTCTAAGATGGAGTGAGATATTTGAAGGACCAGCCTTGTGAGCATCAGTCAAGGCAGCGCGGGTGGTAGACGTATACTTCACAAACAGTATATATGAAGCACTCGAGACACAGCACTATAAGTTCACAGCGCGAGCGGTGGTTTCATAAAGCGTATAAACCAGTAGAATAGCGATGGGAAGCCTTCCAGGTATCGGAGGTTTCAGAACGCAGAAAAACCGGGATAGGCGAATATGCATCCAGTTGAGACGCGCCGTCAATTTGTAGATTGCACAATGCAGCATTATGTCAAAGTGATCGCTCTTATAAAACAAAAGATGGGAAAACTCAAAATTTAAAATGAATTCATAAAGGTTACCATGGACACAAGTCATGTGTCTCTTGGTCTTAGAGCTCTTGGTGGAAATGGTGAGGATGAAAGTGTCGACATCACATTTGATGGGTGGCAAGCCCATCAATTTAAAGGACTTTCTGTCCTTTATGTAATTGATGGGCGGATGGGATGGTCGATGGACAGAATTTTATTAGTTTGTAAAAGTTATATGTATGCGCATTCAATATATATTTTTATCTCCCGACTACTTTTCCCAATACTTTGGTCTTTTACTTACCTTCTTTCTTTGCCGAGATGTCGGTGTCTATTATTTCGAATTTCTCTCTTTATAACACAAATGTGGGCTCCTTAAAAATACATAATTTATTATACGGTACATACGTTATTGGACATAATAAGTAAATGCAAATTATAAGAGATATATTAAATAATGGATTTCAGATATCTGATGAAGGCTTGGATGGCTGCTCTGAAAGGCAAAGTATTGTCACCAAGCGTGTCTTACTTGTTGAATTCCTTGAAGGAAAGCAAAAAGCCGTGGCAGAATACACCCGAAGGAATTGTGAAAGGATTTCAGCATGTATCTTTTGGGTAAATATAATTATATGTCTTTAATGACTTTAAGCTCTCGAGCTCATGATTAATGCGTTATTATTGCATTAATGCGTTAATTCAATGAAAATTTAAACTTATAGAAAAGTGAAAGCGGCTTACGAGACGATTCAGAAATACATGAAACAAGGAAAAGATTATGAAGACGCTTGGAATCTCGCTTCAGTTCAACTTGTAAAAGCCAGCGAGGTAAATGATCCTAATTTATTAAGATAACATGACTTATTTTATAATGTATTTCCTAGGAAATTTGCCATTGGGAAGAGTGCCTAGCCCGCAGCCTCGAAAAGTTGCTTCTTTTTTCCAAATAAAACTTTATATTATTATTTTTTTTATTTAGATGTCTTTAGCGTAAATAATCAGAGGCCCAAGCACGAATTTTGACAGCTTCGTAATCCTATCGTCAACGTCGAATTTTGTGTGAAAAAAGTTAGTTTGTTTTAACGTCCGATAGGGGCACTGCTTAGTTTTCATAGAAACTTTGAAGATGATTACGTTACGGAGCTATCGAAATTCGTGGGAAAGTTCTCAGGTGTTTAATAGAATCGAGTAACTGTGAATGTTACATTTACTCCGTGTTCAATGTTCTTGGCAGGCTCACAGTCGAGCGATTCTATGTGAAGTGTCGTGGGAAGCGGTGTGCAGCTCTTCAGCATCTCCTAACTTATCGCGAGTGCTGCAGCAGTTGGCACAGCTGTATCTGACCTACTGGACCCTGGAGACGAGCGGAGACTTACTGCTGGTACGTAAGATATCTGTATGAAACCACTAAAGAATAGCTAGAATGAAATGATGAACGGTTCTTCTCGATGTTTACTGTTAACTCCAGGAAATAATAATCCCAATCTTGATTCCTTTACAGGCATTTAATCTTCAATGAATTTGATAATTACATATTTGCTAATATTAATTAATTATATATAATCTTTGTAATCAAACGAAGCGAGTAAAATTTTTTGTGTCTTGTCTTCTCTCAAGAGCCGTTATAATAAAAACGATTGTTTCCGACAACGCCCGTCGGCCGCCGTCGTGATCATTCGGCAGTGTTCGGCGGTTTGCGTATTTCCCGCGCGTAGTTTAAGAGCGAGCATTTACAAAAACTGTAATTTTACCATTTGGAAATTGTTTTATTTTTAGAATGTTGTATAAATCTATGTTTGTTTAAAGCTTGTATTTATCAGCACCATTCACCATTATTTTCAGTATTCCAACATCACAAAAGATGATCTTATTATACTGCGAGACAAATATGAAGAACTCTTGGTGGCTATACGTCCTAACGCCGTAGGATTGGTTGATGGATTCGACTTAAGAGATGAAGTAAGTATGTCATTTAAATTTGATATTTCCATATTTCCTCCGTTTCGGAATCGATTAAAGATATGCTTTTTTTAAGCATTTAACTGCTAGATGTTTAGTATATTTTTTTTGTTATTAAACACTCACACCAATTAGCCTAGCCCCAAAGTAAGTACTATAATGCTTATGTTATGGGATACAAGGGTAACGGATAGAATAGACATAGACTGTACATATATAAGTATATTTTTTTATAGAACATATTAAACATCCATGACTGGAGTACAAATGCTCGTATTCATCACACAAACGTCTGCCCCCACCGGGATTTGAACCCGGGACTTCTCGAGTCGGCGACACCATGAAACCCGGCGTACAAACCACTCGGCCACGGAGGTCGTCTAATAATTGGTCAGTGCACTCGCCCGGATTGCGAAGGGCGCGGGTTCGAGTCCCGTCCGCTGCCTGGTCAACTTGGATTTTTTCTAGTCAAACTTTTCTTTCGATTAAACGGGAAACTTTCATCTGCTTTACTTTACTTTTGGTATGTTATTCTCAACAGATTTTGAATTCGACTCTGGGTTCGTACGACGGACGCGTGTACGAGCGTCTGATGGAGGAAGCCCTCAAGAGTCCCCTCAACCAGGAGACCGTGAACTCGAGCTTCCACAAGTACCTCAAGCCAATGATGGAAAAGGCGAAGCTTTAAAAATACTACAAAAGTGTTGTGGCGTTCTGCACGTATCGCTCGGCAAGACTTACATTCCATTTCGATAGATGGCGCTGAATGCGTATCATCTAATGGTAGCGTTAAATTTGATTGTTGTTTCACTTCTTCTTCGGGTGCCTCTCCAACTAGTGAAGGTTGGCCATCAGCTCGGAAAATTTGTTCTTATCTCTCGCGAGGCGGAACAGTTCAGCCGCACTCGCGATCCCGGTCCATTCCCTGATGTTACGTAGCCAGGACTTCTTCCTACGGCCCACTTTTCTTTTTCCTGCGACTTTTCCCATCATTATGAGTTGCAGCAGTTCGTAACGTTCGTGCCTTAGCACATGCCCTAGGTATGCAACTTTTCTCTTTTTGATGGTTTGCAAAAGTTCGCGTTTTCGGTCAGCTCGCCGTAGAACCTTCTCATTGGTAACCCGTTGAGTCCAGCTTATTGCTAACATACGTCGGTAGCACCACATCTCAAAAGCTTCAATACGTTTCCTGAGATCTTCTTTTATTGTCCAAGACTCGCATCCGTATAGAAGAATGGGCCAGACATAGCAGAGCAGAAGCCGAGTGCGCAAAGTGATCTTTAGGTTTCGGTTACATAGGACCTTACTCATGTTCTTGAAGGCATTCCTAGCTATTTCAATTCTAGTTTTGATCTCTAGTTTGCTGTCCCAGCTTTCAGTGAGCCAGGTGCCTAAGTATTTGTATTTGCGCACTCTTTCGATAGTCTGGCCTGATACTGCTATGTACGGCTCGAGATGGGTGTTTCTAGAGATCACCATACACTTTGTTTTTGTTATATTCATCTTGAGGCCGGCTCGTAAACTGCACTCGTTCACTCGGTTTACAATTTGCTGTAGGTCGGCTTCTGTAGACGCTAGTAGGACTGTATCGTCTGCGTAGCGAAGGTTATTAATTCTACGCCCGTTAATGATGACGCCACAGTCTAGGTCTTCTAATGCTTCCGCCATAATTGCTTCCGAGTACAAGTTGAAAAGTGTCGGTGACAGACTGCAGCCCTGTCTGACTCCTCTCTTGATCTCCACTTCTTCAGTTTCCTTTCCTTCAATTCGGACGGTCGCTCGTTGGTTCCAGTACAAGTTTTTAATAATGCGGATGTCCTTGTTATCCAGACCGACGTCGTTCAGGATCTTAATAAGTAGGTCATGCCTTACTCTATCGAACGCCTTCTCATAGTCGATGAAGCAAAGGTAGACGTCCTGCTGCATGTCTAAACACTTCTGAATCAGAACCTGCACTGCAAACAGCGCCTCTCTAGTTCCCACTCCGGATCGGAAACCAAACTGACTATCGCCGAGTTGTTCGTCACATCTCTTTCTAATGCGTTAATGCACAATTGATAAGAACAGCTTTAAAACTTGGCTCATGAGGCTAATAGTTCGAAAATCCTCACATCTTTTCGCATTCTTTTTCTTTGGGAGAGTGATAAACGTTGACTTCAGCCAGTCTTGTGGTATGTGACCTGAGTCATAGATAAGGTTCATGAGCTTTACCAAGGCGTCTACATGGTCTTCCTCTAGCAGTTTTAAAACTTCTATGTGTACGTCGTCTGGTCCAGCAGATTTTCCAGATTTTGCTCTACGCAGCGCTTTCACCACTTCAGCTTTCATAATGGGAAGACCCCGATCTTCGTCAGAGATTTGAAAAGCGTTCCGTGTGTCGTCTGAGAACATAGACTCGATATATTGTTCCCATAGCTGTTTCTTTATGGCCTTTTCTAAAACTGGCACACCAAAAGCATCAACGAGTTGATGTACAGATGACTTACGCCCAACCATGGCTTTTACCTCTTTGTGCAAATTGAATGCGTCATGTTTTGCACTAAGTTCTTCTATAAATTCGCACTTGCTTATGAACCATGAGTTCAGTGCATAACGAACCTCTCTACGTATTCGTTTATCTAGGTTGTCGTACTTGGTTTTATCAGTATTCTTGTAAAGCCTACGTTCTTCCATCAACCGGTATATTTTTTTCTGTTATCCATACTTGCTTTGGAGTCCAATCACTTTGTCCAAGAAGCGTTTCATTTATTGAAGTGACCACAGATTTGAGTGATGACCATGTATCTTCCACTGATTCAGATCCCGAATGCTTAGATGTCACTGCCCACTCGTTTATTGCGTTAGAGACTTTAGGTTTTATGTCTTCATCATAGATTTTCCTTATGTCTATCCTTTTCTTGCGAGGCTTCTTCCTTATTTTCTTAAGGGTACAGGATAGCACAGCAAGGAGCAGGTTATGGTCGGATCGGATATCTGCCCCAGGATACGTCTTGGCACTCCTGATGCAGTTCTTAAAGCGACTGTTCACCATAACATAGTCAATTTGATTGCGAACTATGTTTTGGGGGGTATGTCGAGGCGAGGTCCAGGTATACAATCGTCTTGGTGGTAGGTCGAAAAAGGTGTTCATGACAACAAGGTCATTCTCCTGGCAAAATTGTACGAGACGGTCTCCTCTATCATTGCGGATTCCCAAGCCGTATCTTCCAACCACGCCCTGAACCTCTCCCTGGCCCACTTTAGCATTCATGTCACCGATCACAATATTGATGTCATGTCTTTTTGTTACTTTAAGCAGATCTTCAGCCTCTTTGTAAAATTCTTCTACCTCTTGATCTGATCCGTCCGTTGTTGGTGCATAAAGCTGGATGATGTTTAGATTTCTCGGCCTAGCCTGTATCTGAAGCATCATTGCACGGTTGGATTTTGGCAGAAACTCTACAGATGTTCCGACTCTCTTCGTGTTGATTATTACTCCAACGCCATGTTTATTAGATGAGTCATCCGATCCCGAGTAATATAATATATGGTCCTTGTCAATATTGTGTTCACCGCTACCTTTCCACCTAACCTCACTTAGTCCCAGCACATCAATATTCAGGCGTATCATCTCCTTGTTGACGTTATAGATTTTCTCTGGGCTCTGCAGGCTGCGGGCATTCCATATTCCTATTCTAAAATCTTGGGTTTTGCTCCCGGGGATTCTTCGCACCCCTGTCCCATCTAAGAGACGCCGGGAACTCGGGGCCATTTCTTTTTGTGACTTTTCCATGCTGATTTTACTAGGGAAAATAGTGCAGTGGTTTCCCGTTGCCTTCTGCACCGCAGTGATGACATGTGCAATCGTAACGCCCTGCTGCCAACGCTCGATATCCGGACTGAGTGACTGCATGGTCCGGACCCCCTTCTCCCATGCTGCTTGTCGACCTACATCTCCAAAGGGGTTGGTTACCGCAATCTCGATGGTAGGTTGCCCGACGTAACAGGGTTCACCGCGGGTAGGCAGGGAGTGGAGTTGGTGGAGAGAGGCTAAGTGACTGATCCGAGTCATGTATTGCGCATCATCCACCCTTGAACCCCTGTTTCACACTCCATCTATTAGATGTCACTGAATTCGTCTTTTCAAATTAATGAACGTTGGATTTTGCTGCGCACTTGTAACAATTTTGCGAAATGTCAACTGAAACTAGTTATAGCCGATACAATAATGTCTTTGAAGTTTAATTAACTAATGTGTGGCTTCATCTTGATCGACGACAGTGTTTATAGAGGTGTAGACTACTTCATTCCCCTCAATTTCCGAGAGAATGCATTCGTTAATTGCTGCAGCTTCATCATTTTTGGGCGTTAAAATGGCACGCTCACACACCCAAGAATTCTGCTGGTACGGTATACGACTGATGTCCCCGTATACAGAGCTAATGAGTTCTTCTAAGCTGGATAAAACTCTACCGAGAGACTCTGGAAGCACCACCTGTTCACCTCTCTCCTCTGGTAGAGTGCCTTCGCCAAGACTTAGAAGGACATCGGAGAATTCTTGAGCACGTGCATTGCCGCCGAGCCGAGCTCTCATATTAATGGTCAAGTGCAGCGTACGAACTCGTGACCACAACGAAGATCGTTTCAACGAAACATTCACCTCGTCAGCCCTCGATCCCCGCGTCACCACGGGAAGCGTTTGTCGGAAATCGCCACTGAACAGAACTGTGACACCACCCATCAAATGTTCGTACCTGCGGATGTCCTGAAGGGTTCTGTCCACGGCCTCAACTGCCTTCCTATTGGCCATCGTAAACTCATCCCATACGATCAGAGAGCAATCCTTGAGCACGTGTCCCTTATCACTGTTACGTGACACGCCACAAAAAGGCGTTGCGGCGCTTTCTAAATCGATGGGAATTTAAAACAGCGAGCGATTCCCGACGACGCTACAGCAATGGCAATTTTGCTTTGCCTCCTGACCTCTGCAAGTATGCCAGTGGTAACAAATGTTTTTCCTGTTCCACCAGGAGCATCCAAGAAAAATATTTAACATCTGGTTTTGTTCAACTGAAGAGAACAAAGCGACTTGGTCATTTCGTATGGTGGTCCTTTCACCCGGATCGTGAAATTGTAAAATTGTCTATTATGTTTATCGGCCTAAGTTACTCATAGTGTGAAGTAGCTTATAGCATGGTTAACATAATTACAACATTCAAATATGCGTCGTTAGATTACACGTTGTTACAGAATGCGTTGAAGAAATGAAGGTTCACTGCTCGTTCCCCGGAGGTGATAGCGTGATAATATGTAGCCTATATGTTGACCTGACTTCTTAATAATATTCGTGCCAAATTTGAAGTAAATCCATGCAGTACTTTTTGAGTTTATCCCGGATATACATACACAGACAAACAGACAAACATATTTTTGGCTTCGGTACCGATGGTAGATCACACCCCAAGTATCTTTTAAAAAATATCCAATGTACAGTTTTGACTTTCCTACCATTTTATTATATGTATAGATTTTTTACGTTTGTGCTAGCAGGGATTTAACGTGTTTTGAGTAGTTCATAGTTAAACCAAAAGTGTGGTTGTGTAGTATTTTGACTCCCAAAATCTTCTCGCCAAATCATCACTGTATTATAGAAACATGATAGAATCTAGGGAAATTTATATGTAAGACTTCTTTTACATATCAAATGTGAACAATATTGTTGATAAGTTGAGTTCGGTTTCTGAATATGATTGTTGTAATTGTTTCGTTAAGTATTATTAATTTTTGTATATATATTTTTTAAATAAATAAATATTAATTTTAGATTTGTTGTTTTTACATTATAATATAACATATCACACATTTGCACCTCTACCATCACGATCGTATTAAATTAACATTTATGAAGATTTCAAAATTGTTGCTGATTATTTATATCTCATAATTTTTATTATTTTTAAAGCATGTAACTGCTTGATGTTTAAATCTAAAGAAAATATAACTAGAAAAAATTCCACGCGGACCAGGCAGCAGACGGGACTCGAACCCGCACCCTTCGCAATCCGGGCGAATGCACTGACCAATTATGCTACCGCGGCCCTCACGGACCGCGTCGAAATTCCTTCTAGCTATTCTTAAGCTGCAAGGCAGCGCCATCTCTTCGCATTATCATTTGACATTGTGGGTTCACCTATAATGCGAAGAGATGGCGCTGCCTTGCAGCTTAAGAATAGCTAGAAGGAATTTCGACGCGGTCCGTGAGGGCCGCGGTAGCATAATTGGTCAGTGCATTCGCCCGGATTGCGAAGGGTGCGGGTTCGAGTCCCGTCTGCTGCCTGGTCCGCGTGGAATATTTATATCTCGTTTTATAGAACAGATAATCTTTAAATTCGATTGATGAAACCATTGAATTCTATAGCTGCTACCTATCATATGTAGATAAATAAAGTCTATTTTAGGAAACCATCAAAGAGTATCGACGCGAAAATTTGCATTAATGTATAGGGACGACATTCTCTCAAAGTTTGTTGGAATAGAATCTAGACCCAACAACTTTGAGGTTGTGCTACATTTACTTATATTATACCTATCTAGATTGGAGATTTTCCGATATCTTATCTAGATAATACAAGATTCTAGCCCAGTACCAGTAAATCAATCCAGTCCAAGAAATTCGCAGGTTTGTATTATTCCAGTATCATTCTAGTATTGGGCTGAAAAACTAGATAGTTACAAGATGGATGGTTGAATTTACCCACGAAATCATCTATATCAATTTGAGAATTCAGTAAATCCTCGGCTGTCATTAAAGATAAAACGAACTCAGAAAATTTGCCCGTGGATAAACACTATACAGTCCATACAGACTTTTAATTTAAAAATTTATTAAGATTTTATTAGATTAGGGAAATAAAAATAAACAAAATTAAAGTAGAGGGAATAGGTAATAAACTGCATTCTAACTTTGGAAATATCCGGGTTTTTAAAACGTTCTCTTAGTACACTGAAGTGTCTCATCGTGTTTGCATTGGCATGTGTAAGGTCGATATATGTGCATTAATTAATTACAATTCATTAAATTTATTCGTCAGTTTAATCAAGTTTAAGCTATTAACGTACGAAGTGTACGAAGTACAAAGTGTACCAGTATTATTTTAGAATACGAATTACCTATATGCTTTCATATTGTCACTAGTTCAAGATTTGAAAAGCAGAAAAGATAGGATTCGAAAGACAAAACTCTCTTATTAGTTTAATTTTGTGACTGCTAAAGGCGGTGAAGCCATGAGCAACAAGGAAACCACGGAAATTAACGCTGACCTTCTGAAGGAGAGGAGGAATTGTAGCTTTGATGTGGAGGAACTCACAAACGTGATAGACGGCGGGAAGGTACAAACGGATAAGAGGCGAGAAATAGGTGAGGAAATGTCTATTCCTTTAGTTATTTCACGAGAATGTCAATGAAATTTTATGTTCAAAAGAGAGTTTAAAGTTTGTTTTGTGTGGTAGCCCCCAAACAAAACACAGCGCTTATAGACGACATTCCTGGGTATTTTACAATTCATTAGATTTATTTCATTTAGCTTTATTTCACTATTATTGAAGTGAAAACTTCTTTAGCACCGTTGTGATTTAAAACTCGATGAAACGAAAATTTAATAGTATTCGACAAGGTATCCGTAATTAAGTATCTGTAATTCTCTGCAAGAGATAGATAGCCGAACGGCAACGGTCTTGGGATCGACACCTAATGATCGGTTTGATCCTGTGCTCGGTTATATTTTTCTTTTATTAAGCTATTATTTATCTATTTTTCAAAACAATTTGAGTATAGAATGATCATCATGGAAAGGGATATGCTCAGCGTTTCTCTGAAGGATCGCATCAGAAATGAGGTAATCCGATTGAGAACCAGAGTTATCGACATAGCCCACCGGATTAGCAAGTTGAAGTGGCAGTGGGCTGGCCATATTTGTCGAAGAACCGATAACCGTTGGGGTAGACGAGTTCTGGAGTGGAGACCGCGTCTAGGCAAACGTAGTGTAGGGCGTCCTCAGGCGCGATGGAGTGACGATTTGCGCAAGGTGGCTGGCAGGAGTTGGATGCGAGTAGCCCAAGATCGATCTGAGTGGCGTGCATTTGGAGAGGCCTTTGTCCAGCAGTGGACTAAGATAGGCTGTTGATGATGGTGATGATGATATCATCATCATCAGCCTATTAATGTCCCCACTGCTGGGGCACAGGCCTTCCCTATGGATGGAATAGGGAGATTGGACCATGACCCACCACGCGGGCCCAGTGCGGATTGGCTGCAGACGACGACTAACTAACTAACTAACGACTGCAGATGCAGCCGGGGCCAACGGCTTAACGTACCTTCCGAAGCACGGAGGAACTCGAGATAGAAAATTCTTGGTCACCCATCCAATGACCGACCACTGCGAAAGTTGCTTAACTTCAACTATCACAGCTGAACGCGCTATCCACCCGCGCCATCGAGCTCCTCAAGTATAGAATATTTAAACTTATTTAACATTATCTGAATAGTTAAGTATTAAACGTTTGGTAGGTGCCTAAGTTGTTTATTAATACAGGCTTGGTTTTTATCAATAATCCTTGCCTTTCCAATGTTTGCATTGCTTTGCAGTATATTTTTATAAATAAATATAAATATTACGAAAAAAACCTAAGACAAGAAAACATAGCAAAGGAAATAAAATAAAAATAACTGGTAACAAAGAAACCGCGGGCGGCTGGAGGATTTTTACGTTTTCACATTTTTGTAGTCTCTTCTATCGCATGTAATAATAATAATAATAAATTTATTTATTTGCCCCAACATTTTTACATAGTTAAAACATAACAATTGTTTTCTTAATGCTTAATAGCAGCGACAATACTACTTAAAACGAAAAATACAATAAAATAGCACACACAATACACTAGTAACTTAACTTTTTGATTAAATTAATATTTATAGGATTTCATCTATAATATTTTTAATTTTGTGCTTGTGGATTCTGCAAGAATTTCTGGTGATATTTTGTTTAAATCAAACTAAAGTAAAGAAGAATATAAACTATAATTTATCTAACAATATTGAATAAATGTTCAACTTTATCATATGATAGAGTTTTAAGCCAATCTGTAATTATTATTTTGCATTTACAGTAATTTAATGAGTAAATAATTATTGTCAATTTTATTTATCTTGTTATATAAGAAAGGTCCGAGAAAACATTGGAATTTATAGACAAACTTGATTCTTAAAACACTTTCTATGTGAACAGAACATGTCCGTTTTTTATGCAAATTAAGAATTAGATTAGTTTCTTAAACATAGTCGCCAATCTTACGATGTAGTTACTTCGTACAGCTATACAAAATATTTAATGAAAAAAATCCTATTATAAAACTTTTGTTAAGATAAAATAATAAATACCCCTATTATAATTTATTCAAAAGATTCAACTCTGGGTCGACTGGTATTTTCTGGTATTTTTTTCTTTAGTTTATGAATCCAGCAGTATGTATAGTGCTTACAAATAAAACTGTATTTACTTCTAAATTATCCCTAACTTTTAAATAGTTTTTTTGTTTTCATAAGAAAGTATTGTTCTTTCTGATTTATATAAAGGTACAATAATAGTTACCATGAATTACTTTCGCAGAGAACTTATTTCTCAATAGTGGCCTTTCCTACGACGATGTGCCAGAAGAATACCTCAGTCCAAAGGACAGATACGAGAATGCTGTGAGAAAATCTGCTATACTCAGCAAAATAGCTATGGATATGCTAGAAAAGGTCACTGTGCTGGAGGAGTTTGGGTAATGTTGTCAACGTGTCTTTGTCACCGGCAATCTGTATAATTCAGGTATTCTCCACAATACCTAGGTAATGTATACAGTTCCTAGGGTTTGTATAGTACCTGCTGGTCCACCGGCACTGTGTAAAATAAACCGATTTTGGCCTGTATTTATCCCCCAACCAAACATAACCTCATTCTCACCGAATGAACTACATACCAATGGACATTTGACCAACTCACAGTGGGTTAGAATAAATAAGTGTTGTGATCTTAACTTAATGCGAGCCGGGCGAGCAAAGCGAGTATCCTGATAGATAAATAAAACAAGGAAAAGTCGACGCGGTCTCCTTTTACACACATTGCCGACTGCACATTCGAAATTGTTCAGAATACCTAGGCAAAGTATAAAATGAATAATCTATCTATCTATCTATATTTATAAAACTCAAAGGTGACTGACTGACTGACATAGTGATCTATCAACGCACAGCCCAAACCACTGAACGGATATGGCTGAAATTTGGCATGCAGGTAGATGTTATGACGTAGGCATCCGCTAAGAAAGGATTTTGATCAATTCTACCCCCAAGGGGATAAAATAGGGAATGAAAGTTTGTATGAAACTTTGTCAATTTTAAACCGCTCGGGCTGAGACACACTGAGTATAATACAAGCCCGAGAACAAAAACTGTAGTCTACACTTCAGCTCTACACCGAAGCGAAGCGAGGGCGGGCCGCTAGTATTTCACACATTGCCTTGACGTTTTAGGCATTATCTACATTGTCCAGGTATATTACAGAATGCCGGATTATACAAATTGTCAATAACATCATTGATTGCATGTCGATTTATAGGAGATGCAAGTGAGACAGAAGTTAATATTGCTAGTCATATCAAAAAAAATATAGAATAAATTCCTCAAAATACAAACTTGAATTGCGAATAAAAATTTTAGTTCATCACACAAATATACACCACTACCGGGATTCGAATCTAGTAGAACCCCTCGGTGCAGTTGCACCAACCGATTGTCAAATTCACTTACATTCGACAACCTAATACACCTTCATTAATTTAAATATCATCATCAGCAACCTATTAATGTCCCCACTGCTGGGGCACAGGCCTTCCCTATGAATGGAATAGGGACATTGGGCCATGATCTACCACGCGAGCCCAATGCGGTAGTTACCGCAGATGCAGCCGGGACCAACGGCTTAACGTGCCTTCCAGAGCACGGAGGAGCTCGAGATAGTTAATAAATTTTTGGTCACCCATCCAAAGACCTACTATTTCCTTCATCACAATATTGAATTAGACAGGTCTTTAGGTGTAGTTGTTTCACCATTAAGATATCTTTGTGTTGTGGCCACATTCACCTCTGAAGTCATTTTTCAATTTGACGACTCTGTAAATAATAAAACAGGGAGAAAAAAACAGCCCTTGCTGAGTTTCTTGCCGGTTCTTCTCAGTACAAGGTCTCCCGCCGTAGATTTACGAACCGATGGCGTAGCTTCTAGACATTCATATGTGCTTGTAACAGCCTAAACTGAATAAATGATTTTGATTATTATGATTCACATTATTTGCTACTATAATCTTTATATATATAATTCTTCTGTGAGTGTGTATGTCACTGAACTTCTCTTAAACGACTGGACCAATTTTGATGAAATTTTTTGTGTGTGTTCAAGGGGATCTGAGAATGGTTTAGATTCACAATTTTGTCCGCTGGACAATGTTTTTTTAATTAATTATTAATTTATTAGTAGTTGTTGATTTTGGAATGTTTTACATTGGATCCGACAGACGGCGCTACCATCGCAGTGTCAAATCTTTATATATATAATTCTTCTGTGAGTGTGTATGTCACTGAACTTCTCTTGAACGACTGGACCGATTTTGATGAAATTTTTTGTGTGTGTTCAAGGGGATCTGAGAATGGTAATTTTCATCAAAATGGTCCAGAATGTTTTAGCTTATTAAAAAAAGTTTGAAATTTTCAAATTAAAGACGTGTAGACAGGACAACGTCTGTCGGGTCCGCTAGTATACCTATAATATTTTCCATATTTGATCCTATGGGTATAATACTATTTATGTATGTTGCTATAAATTTATTCACGTATATAACCTTGCATCTCATTTTCATGTATTCACTAATTTTAACAACTACTTCAACTATCCATTTCTGTTATTTCCAAATAATAATTAACAAATTTTAGCTGCATTTCTTTCGCGAATTCGATTGTGTCTCGGAAATTTACATTCAATATGATTACTCACTCGATTTGAATATTCTTGAAAGTCAATTACGACAAAGCGCTGTCCTTCTATGCCTAATTTAAATATGATTCCTACATAGGGTCAATATGGGCAAAGTTGACTGTTATGTCAATTCTTAGAATTGGCAAAACAAAAGTAAATAATGGTTTAATACCTTCGCAGTTGTTATGTCGAGGCCTAATCTTAGAATTAAAATATTTATATGTATTTGATATTTGTTTTTTAGGTTTTCACGCACATCACTCATTAAATAAAACTAGTTTTAACGGGTTCATGCATGAACTTTATTTATTTATTGACGTTTCGCATCCTTTTCAGGTCTGCATCGTCAAAATAATGATTTTTTTGGTATATACCACCAGCTTGGGAACCCATTATACAAGAGATAAAATTCCAACTCCGAGCACTCACTGCAAGACCAACAGATACTATTAGTTCTTTTTGTTTGCATAATTTAACATAAGAAGGAGATAGAAAGCCTCTCTGAGTTTGTTTCGCCGGTTCTTCTCAGAAAGGTCTCTCAATTTTGGAACCGGTGGTAGTTTACGTTAGTTAGGGTCAAATAAATAAACTGAAAATTACAAAAAACAATTTAATTTAAGTACTTTATTAACTAAATTAACTAATAAATTCATACATAGACAATAAAGTCAAAAATCTTCCAATGAAATATCCGAACTCTCAATAAAAGTCTTTCGAAGGTAGCTCGACAAAGTAAATAAAAAATCATTATTCTGACGATGCAGACCTGAAAAGGCTGCGAAACCTCAATAAAAAAATAAAGTTCGTGCATTAACCCGTTAAAACTTGTTTTATTATATGTATTTGAAACAAAATCTGAAAGAAACTTAAAAAGGTCTAATTTCTGGTATGCGTTCACAAGTCAGTCTGGATTCCTAAGATCTAAAATGAACTATCAGCATGTTGCATACCCTATGGTGGTCACTCACTATCTTTCTGCTTGATTTAATGACTTGATGAGCCGGCCTATTCGCTAACTTTTTTGACATTTACAGTGTGTAACTAAAGAGAAAATTGCATATCCATCGATACTTTCCTGAAGAAGTATCTTAATTGCGTTATAATAATGCAGTAGTAGATCACTAAATAGCTCGGTGATTGTCACTTCCATATGTCAAAAGCACTTCGCGAATAGGTCTACAGGACAGGCTTGATCAAGCCAAACTGACAGTGTGTGGGGAGAATTTTGGAAGGACATGCCACTTGACGGATGGATTTTGGCTTGATCAAGTTTATTTGATCTAGTCACTTGATCAAGCGGTATGATGGTCAGTACCATTACTCCATCCAGGATTCAGTCTCCGGTTCTCCGCCGTATCGCAGACGCGTTCTTCAGGGAGGTCTCGCCGTTCCTACTACACTTGGGCATGTTCGTACCCACCATCATTGGGCAGTGCACCGTTGAACAGAAAGCTTATTGGCTACCACGAGCGCTGCGGATGGAGATCATTGGTACTTATGCACAGGTAATCGGCACTACTTGGTAACGTCAATGTAGTAAATATTTGACACAGCAGGCCAAAATAGCCTACATTTTCAATATATGTACATATAAAAATTGATAAATAAGAAAAAAAAAGTTGGTGTGAAGCGTGTGCCTGTGCCGAAAGGGATTATCAAAATTCAGCAATATTTCAGTTCATAGAGCTGACGTAAATTTCTATTATAATAATAATAAAAAAATATTTCAGACTAGTGTCCATAGTTTAGTAGTAGTAGATTATAGGTACATAGCTATTGTTTTTTTTTTGTTTCTGGGAAATGGGGAGCAGGAAGGAGGTATGTGGAACTCCTCCCTGCCCACTTCAGCCAGCGATGAGGGTAGCTGAAGAATACAGGGTCCTACCTACGCCTTGAACAGGGCCACTAAAAACCAGACAATACTCCTGCACCGTCACCCGACACGCACTATGAGGACCGCGGTCCCCCTAGTGCGGGCCAAGAGGGCTGGTGTGGTTGCGGCTCCCGTCTCTGTATGTCCGCGCACCCGCCAGGCGTTTATCCGCGAAAGGGCCCAACCCAATGAGGATGCCCCGGAGCATCAGGGGCATCAACATCCAGAGAGCTTGTGCAATGCAAGAGCAATAGTGGAAGGGAAGCTTCCAGTAATACGTACTTTATCCATATTTTCTGGAAATATACATCCTTATGATACGTTCCCTAGCGAATTTTATAAGGCCACGCGGACCATGAACTGAGTACGCTTAGAAGTCTTTGGGTGAAGTTAGTCAATTATTAGCATAATAGGGGTGATGACAGGGTACAGTAAACGAAATTTAGTCCGTCAGTTAGATGATCAAAAAATAATGGACACGAATTTTTTCTAAAGAAAAGTTTACTAGAAAAAAAAAAAAACCGTCCGCTGCCTGGTCCGCGTGGATTTTTTTCTAGTAAACTTTTCTTTAGATTTAAACATCTAGCAGTTAAATGCTTAAAAAATAAATAAAAACATAACGAATTTTTTCTTTGGGCAATCAACCAAAAAATGACAAAGTTATAGCGCGTCAAAGTTTGGGAGTAGGGGCTCGTGACGTCACTTTTCAGTGAATTTTCCCTTATAAGTGTACTCAAACGTGACGTCATGCGACTTTTCAAATCAATATATCTCTGCAATGCTTATATTATGTGAAAAAAGAAAAAATACGTGTCCAATACTTTTTGATAATCTACCCGATAAACGAAGAAAAAAAATAGTCATCATCCCTATTGTCGTTGTAGACGGAGCTGGGACACGGAACCTTCATCCGGGGTCTGGAGACGACAGCCACCTACGACGAGAATACCGAGGAGTTCGTGCTGCACAGCCCCACCCTGTCCTCCTACAAATGGTGGGCTGGAGGAAGTAAGAATATATCCTTATATATTTAAGAGAAGAAGGTTACAGTGGTTCAACATAAAATGTCTTAAACAAAATTCAACTGGATGCGAATAATTAATAATAATTATAATAAATGTTTCCAACACACACCAATTAGCCTAGCCCCAAAGTAAGGCTTGTGTTATGGGATGCTAGGATAACGGATAGAATATATATACTGTACATATATAAGTTTATTTATATAGAAGACGAGGAGCTCGATGGCGCAAGCGGTTAGCGCGTTCGGCTGCGATCGTTGAACTTAAGCAACTTTCGCAGTGGTCGGTCATTGGATGGGTGACCAAAAATTACTATCTCGAGCTCATCCGTGCTTCGGAAGGCACGTTAAGCCGTTGGTCCCGGCTGCATCTGCAGTCGTTAGCACCCACCAATCCACACTGGGTCCGCGTGGTGGGTCATAGCCCAATCTCCCTATTCCATCCATAGGGAAGGCCTGTGCCCAGTAGTGGGGCCATTAATAGGCTGACGATGATATAGAAGACATATTAAACATCCATGACTGGAGTACAAATGCTCCTATTCATCACACAAACGTCTGGCCCCGCCGGGATTCGAACCCGGGACCTCTCGAGTCGGCGACACCATGAAACCCGGCGTACAAACCACTCGGCCACGGAGGTCGTCACTACTTACTACTACTGCGAATACTTGATGGAACAAAAATATAATTTGATCTGAAGTTTTATATCAATAATTTTTCTTAAAAATTTATCGTTATGCACAAAATTTATATAGTCTACCAAGAACCGAAGTGAAAAAAGGCTAAAGAGGTGAATAAGGTTAATAAGAAATACATCTTTTCAGTGGGAAAAACTGTCAACCACAGTATAGTCGTCGCCCAGTTATACACAAAGGGAGAATGTCATGGACCACATACTTTCATTGTCCAAATACGAGATCTGGATTCTCATATGCCCTTGAAAGGCTTGAAAGTGGGCGACATCGGACCAAGGCTGGGCTTCCAGACCGCTGACAACGGATTTCTCGGCTTCGATAATTATCGCATACCGAGAGAAAATTTGATGATGAAGAATGCTGAAGTATTAAAAGTAGGTTAAACCATGTTTCCTAAACTAAGTTCGAGTACTTTACCAATTTAAAAATACTTATGTTCTTTTACTTTAAAAAATTACACGAAAAAAATATTTTAGATACTCTTCGCTATGAGTTTCTGTTGTAAAATACTAGTGTGGAAATCTTTGTCTTTTGACAAAATTAGAGATTAGATTCCAAATACAGTTTGACGCATTCAGTGATAAGTGATTTACTGGTATATTTTAGGATGGGACATATGTAAAAATAGCTAGACATGGAAAGCTTACATACGGCACGATGGTTTTCGTCAGGGTGATGTTGGTAAGCGAAATGGCCTTCAACTTGGCAAAGGCAGTGACCATCGCCGTGAGATACTCGGCTGTGCGAAGACAGTCCCAGCCGAAACCAAAGTGAGTATGTTTTGACCGCCGAATGTATATTCATACTTTAATAGAACAATCCTATTTCTATAATGTCCGTTTGGAAATTTGCCCTTAATAGTCAGGAAAATACTTCTCCCAGTTATTGCATACGTTATAGTGCTTCTTCCATCGGATTTTTGTTTTATTGGTGAGACCTCAGTGACACACTGCATACTCTTTGTATTTCTGTACGAAAACATCCTAATCTTCCCAATAGAAAGAAGTTTTTACACACAGTACCAATTGGTGGGTACCAAAAACTGCAGATACAGACAGTACCCTTAGTACGAGTTTACAATTACGAAAACTATGATAGTTTTCGAGAGCTCGCACTGGACTAAGGGTACTGATTTATATTTAAATAAACCGTGTTCAAATCCTATCATTAAATCATTTGCGTCTTCATAAATTTTAAGAATATTTGGTTACTTTTCACCAAAATGGACATAGAAACATAATTTACAATTACAAAAACTATGATAGTTTTCGTGAGCTCAAACTCGTACTAAGGGTACAGGACCAACAGCTTGGTGTCATCCAAACCACGGAATACATATTCGACCAATTTCCAATAAGCCATTAACTATTGCGCCATGGAGTATGTGCTCAATATCAATAAAAAACTTTATAATGTATCGACTTTATCAGTGAGCCGGAGCCGCAGGTGCTGGAGTATCTGACGCAGCAGCACAAGCTGTTCATCAGCATTTCGACGGCGCACGCCTTCCAGCTCACAAGCGCCTGGCTGTGGACCACCTTCACTGCCGTTCTGGCTGATATGCGCGACGGCAACACTGACACCTTGCCAGAAGTACGTATTATCATATCAGCCGTAGGATGCCAACGACGTACGAGGAAGCTTATGCTTAGCATAGACCTACCTCAATTATCTCCACACCTATCGATACTGAGCAATAACGGCTTCCCGCGACCTTCATGAGATCGTCGGTACACTTAGTGGAGGTTTACCCACTAAGCGTCATTCGGTGCGCCATCGCCATTCAAGAACCTTTCCGCCCCAATGATATCGGTTACATTAGTTCTCCTACGGATTTCACCATTTCTGATTCTATCGCATAGGGAAAAATCGAGCATCGCTTTGGCCATTGCTCGCTGTTTAGCTTGAGCCTTCTTATTAGAAACTTCTGCTTCAAATAAAACTAAACATATGGAAGTAATTTTACGAACAATGATTTACAAATCCTCTTTCTAGCTGCATGCTTTGTCGAGCTGCCTCAAGGCGATCTGCACGTCAGACTGCTCGGCTTTCATCGAGCAGTGTAGATTCGCTTGCGGAGGGCACGGCTACATGATCTCCTCAAACCTACCTTCCTTGTACGGGTTCACCACAGCAACAAGGACTTACGAAGGCGATTATACGGTGCTACTGTTGCAGACAGCGAGGTAAACCTTTGTTTATGTACATAAGTATTTACTGTTTCAATTTTCCTCAGAATCATAGTGGTGTACATTCTGGCATGATTCTCTAAACCTAAATTTAAATTTACAACAGTGTATCACATGTCATTCTCAACAGAATGAAAAGAAGAGATTGATCTTAAATTTAGTTTTATGTTTAGAAGCATGTTAGAATCTGAATAAAACTGATGACTGGGTAGACAGTGCTGAACAATGTGCTCAAGGACTAAGTAAGCTATCGAGCACCATATCCAGCAGAAGACAAATACAGATTGATGATGATATTGACCTAAATTACAACATTTTATTTTTAATACTTTATTTAACTTAGGGAATAAAAGTCCCTGTGTGAAAATCATAGCAATTTTAAATATAAAAATATATATCAACATATAGTTAATCAATCATAAACCGTTTTAATTTGAAGAGGACTTGGAAATTATATGCATAAACCCACTTTGTATTCTTTCAGATTTCTAGTTAAAATGTGGGAACAAGTTGAACAGGGTAATGCTGTGACACCAACTCTTGAGTACTTGACTCGTCATCAGAACAAAGAGATTTGGGACGAAAGTCCTGAAGGAATTATCAGAGCTTTTGAATCAGTCTCTGCTGGGTGGGTAATTTAAGCAGATTTTTTTTAAATTTACAAAATGTTCAAAACAGCTTCATACCAGGCACGGTCGCGGCATGCAACTTAGGCCAATCACCAAACTTAGGCCAAATTACCAATCTTACGGCTTGCACCCCTCTTCCCTTGAGTTAGAACCACAATATTTGCTCTCTGATGTCGCACCGCTTATAGGAAGAGTTGCCAGATTTCAGCAATGTCTTAATATTTGAGTAGAGATCATCATCAGAAATTCGATAAATGCATCGCGGCTAGGAGCAGAAGATTTCAATTGACGAAGTGTGTGTCTTAGGACCGTGAAAAATATGTGGCGATGTTTAGTCCCGTATCACCGACACCATATTTGGCATTGGTTGGGTCTAAGAACAAATTAGACTGAACGGGCAATAAACCTAGAATTGTTTGTTTACATATTTTCATGGTGGTGCCTGCTATAGTATACTTAAGTTTTGGTTTGGTTTTTTGATAACAGAAAAGTCAAAGGATGCGTTGCCAGCTTAAGGAAGCACATGAAAGATGGCTTAGATTATGAGGACGCGTGGCAGTTGACCACGGTGCAGCTGGTGGCAGCTGCAGAGGTGATGAAAAAACTTTACCTCCATATGGATTTCTTTAACAATTTATCTAGTGATTATTTAATAAAAATGTAAACAGCTTCTTCTTTGCAACTACGTTTGTGTATGTAGAATAATCCATTTCCATGTAACCTTTCATTTCATATTGTACACTTCAAGTTTTAATTTCAGATTATAAGTTGAATTTGTCTTTTACTGAGTTCTCAAGGGCACTTGGTAAAGAAACAGTTTCGGTTTGGAGTCGGTACAAACGTATAATGACAGAAATATACTTTAGATCGTGTTGTGTTGTGACGCATCAGAGAGCTATCTGTTTCATACATACATCATTACTTCGGTTAGAGCAAAGGGTTAGAATATTTGTTTCTTAGGTTTTTACGCACATCACTCAATAAATAAAACAAGTTTTAACGGTATAGATGCACTGATTTTATTAATTTATTAACGTTTCGCATAGTTTGAATATCCGAATGCTCAATAAAAATATTTCGAAGGTAGCTCAACAAAGTTAATAAAATCATTATTTAGACGACGCATCCTGTAAAGGATGAGAAACATCAATAAATAAATAAAATCAGTGCATCTATACCGTTGAAACTTGTTTTATTTAAAGGGTCAAAGGGCTATAATTGTGTGACGCGATTTGTCGCGATGTAACGACAGCGTTCTCACTGCAACTGTACATAATGTTTCATAGATTTAGAAGTCATACCGACAGCTCTCTGACGCGTTACAACTATAGATGTAAAACAACCGATTTTAAACAAAATGTTGCCGTTTTAAACCCCAAATAAATCGTTTTAAACGGTTGAAAACTGGCATACAAAAATAAAAGAACTATGTTTTTTTTGCACTTTATTATGGTCAATTTTTTTAAAATTTGATTGTACTAGTTCTTTATTTACGGTCATCATAAATAACAAACCCATGATAACAAAATACAAAAACTACATGCGTACGTACCTACAGTCAGGGGGTCACTTTTAAAAGAACATTCTGACATATACAACAAGATACATAGATATGTTAACTGTTAAAATGGGCTTGTGACCTGACTGTACATGATTATAAGAGTTTTTATAACTTAGGTAGGTAGTACCTATGCTTTGTAGCGGATGGACCAACTAGAACTAAACTCGCTAAGTATATCAATATCAGTAAGTATATCACACATTTAAAAAATCTTTATACAGTTTATAGGTACTCCGTTACATTCCTACTTCGGTAAAATCAAGACAATGTAGTTATAATTAAGAAAAACATAGTCATCAACACCAACCGTTTTAAATCGAAAAAAATGATTTATTTCGGTTTTAAACGGATTGGTTTAATTGGTTTTAAACCGGCCTTACATCTATAGTCACAATACAACATGTCAGATAAGAGTATTTCTGTCATAAACCGTGCTCGTGAATAAGCTTTGCCGGCACTGGCGCCGCCAGTCTGGGTAGAAACCGTCCCGTTAAATAAGCAAACTCCGTCTCTTCTCTTCTGTCAAGTTACGTCCTTTGAAAGGTATCTGCCGATTAAGTTATTACCCAATCAGAAGGAAATTCCTTCGCAACATCAAAAATTATAATATTTCATCCTGTCGCCATAAAATACCCTAAATATCCTCATAGTGGTAAAAAATTATGTTTTCTTACATTGTTAATAATCTCTGTGTCTGGAATTATTTTATACGAAAACGATGGTGGTTATAAAGTGACATCAATGTATTAAAAAGTGCATTTACGTTATTAATGACACAATGCACAATTATTGTTTGTTATCTATATATATAAAAACGAAACCCGTTTTCCGTTGTCACGACATAACATGAAAATGGCTTGACCGATTTGGCTGATTTTTTTTTGTAGTTTTCTAATATTCTGTACAAGGTTCTTACGGAAAAAAATATAAAGAAAATCTCTCAGAAAGATTGAAAAATATAACGTAACGAATGTCAACGTCATTCAATTTAAAACAAAAAATCTGTGGTAATCTGTGACACCACATCGATAACCGCGCTGACAAATGTCAACGTCATTCAATTTAAAACAAAAAAATCTGTGGTAATCTGTGACAACACATCCATACCATAACCGCGCTAACAATGAATAGGTACTCATACATAAGATAGGTCAGCTATACAAAATAAAGTAGTGCATCAAAGCTACGCTAAGGCGGTACGAAGTTCGCCGGGTCAGCTAGTACTAAATAAAATAAAGAAATATATACAAATAACTTTCTAACTAGGCTCATTGCCGAGCGATCTTGTCGCGCGTTTACTGGACGGAGACGGTGCGGGTCAGCGCTGGCTCCAGCTCTGAAGTACGAGCCGTGCTTCACCAGCTCGCCGCTCTGTACCTGCTGTACTGGGCCACAGAGAGGACTGGAGACTTGCTGAGGGTAAGGCATTAATTAAAAAAAAAAACAATATCGTTTATTCACTCTAGGCTGTTACAAGCACTTGTGAATGTCGAAAAGCTACGCCATCGGTTCGCAAATCTACGGCGGGAGACCTTGTACTGAGAAGAACCGGCAAGAAACTCAGCAAGGGCTGTTTTTTTCTCCCTGTATTATATACAATATGAGGTAGGTAACTCATAAAGTCACTTTCCATTACAAACAAAAAAATGCAAATAATATAAAAATTAAATATAAAATAAAAAAATATATATATAGAAAACTGGTTTAACAAAGTTTAGGAATGCCGTGTCCTACTGTTTAGGCAAAAAAATAATAATAAACGATTAAAGTTTAGTACAACGATTAATAGTACCCAGTAAAGCAAGAGCAGACTCATCTCCGCTGGCAGAATCCGTTCACGAGCATGACGTACGAACCAGCCATCGCTTCGCTCAACCATTTTTTAGGGAACGCAACAACCAACCTCACACGACACCACCGAAGAGATTTTTAAGAGAGCATGACTACTCATAACCACACATGGATACTATGTTACAAAAATAGAAAAAAAAAAATGGATGCGTGTAACTTATGTACGCGCGTGAGAAGTTATACTTCTTTAGCATCATTAAAAATATTTTTTAATTGCATGCAAATAATTAATAATTACAATAAAATAATAAAAGGACTGGAAAAGGATAGTTAACCCAGTCAATTAAGTTCAGTTTTAATTTGAAAAATTAAATAAATATTCAATTAAAATCACTACTGAATTTAAGTTATTAGTCCATATGTAATTAGCACTTGTAAGTAACTAAAACACGTTGTGTCTATATAAAAACTAGAAACATGTGGATAAATATTATAAACTAGCAAACCAGTGAACCAAATGTTCACCAAAAAAAAAATGTATTTAATTAATTGAGAACTTCGGAGATTTTGTGTGGTTTCGTTTGAAATAGAAATCACGTGATTTCTCGAAAACCGGAAGTGCTACGTTACTCACATCCGGTTTGTAGTCTTATCAGACTATTCTTAACTTATAACTTAAATATTCTCTATATCTATCTCTTACGGTTTGGCCGCTGAAACAGCACCACGGACGGACGGACGGACTTGTCTAATAGATAAGAGATATGAAAACAGTGATCAGAGGCGACGAGCGTGCCAACATTGTTTTTGACAACGCGATCATCTTATGGAGCTCCGTGGATCGTTCAAAGTACCTTTCGAACAGATGTCTAATAATGGTGGATTATTAACCACTAAGTGGTTAATAATCCACCATTATTATTAATATTATTAGACACTAACATTCATAACGCGCCCGCGGCCAACTTCATGGTGTTACTATTGTGTTACAGTGATGCGCGCGCATCTCGAAATTTCACTCACATGATTTTTTCATAACGCGCCCGCGGCCAACTTCATGCTGTTACTTTTGGGTTACAGTGATGCGCGCGCATCTAAAAATTTCACTCTCATCATTTTTTCATAACGCGCCTAAAGAAGTATAACTTCAAAAATATAATTTATCCCCTTTTAAAGCGGACGCGAGTAGAGCCACATTTGAGAAATAGGTATTTGAAAAAACGATTGCTGTCGCGAATTGGCAAATACCGTGCGATAATGACAAAAGTGGTTAACGCTGAAATTTGCGTATAAAAATTTCATATGTCGAGGTTTGGCTCTCGACGATTTGCTTCTTGAAAATTAGAAGTAAATATATAGTGATGGTAAATTATTTACCACCAGAAAAACTACCCGTTATCCCTTTTTTTTGTAAGTTCTGATCAAAAATATGAAACAACTGACTTTCAATTACCCAAAATCCAATGCAACATTAGAAAAATAGTACATATCAGCTCATATTTGTTTGGGCAAATCGTTAAGCAAATCGTTTTATCTAAATACGTAATGAAATTTGCTGCAAGTGAAGCTTCTTGTATTCTCAGCTACAAACTATATAAAAAATTGTAAAGACACAACCAGGTTTGCATCGCCAACTTAGAACGATATTTCAACGCTTGATATTATCTCTTGATTGGACGCTGCAATTAACAGACTTTGTTTTTGTAAATTAACAAACATTACAAACCAGTCGTTCTTGTTTCAGTTCACAACGATTTCAGAATCTGATCTCGTGAATCTTCAGGAGAGATATGAAGAACTGCTTAGGAAGATAAGACCAAATGCGGTTGGTCTTGTTGACGCGTTTGACCTTAGGGATGAAGTAAGTGTAACATTTAAACGTAGATTACTAGCCAAATATAACAAAACATAACCAAAGAATATAAAACAAAAAACAATTGCTTCCATTTATGGACACAACACAACACAACACACAAAAACATGGACCAAAACATAGGTCCAAGATCCGAGACAATATACAAAATTCAGAAGACTTCTTTAAAGAAAATATTACTAGAAAAAATTCGGGATTCGAACTCGGACCCTTCGCTATCCGGGCGAATGCACTCACCTTTATGCTACCGCGGCCCTGATGGCCGTGTAAATTTCCGTCTAGCATTTCTTAAGCTGCAAGGCAGCGCCATCTCTTAGCATTGTACCCACAATGTCAAAGGAATATTTACAAGTATTAAACATTTGAAAGAAGAAATAGCAATTATAGTTAAAAAAATATATTTTTTAAGAATATCGCTGCTCGATGTCTCGTCTGTTGCCTTGGTCCGTGTGGATTATTTCTTCTAGTAATATTTGCTTTAGATTTAAATCGAGCAGTTACATGCTTAAAAATTATGATTTTTTTAAGTTGACTAAAGTAAACAGTTGCAAAGACTAAATTGTTAACTTCAAAGAACTTTGCAGATAAAAAGCAAATTTATTTATTAGATTGGTATTTCTATAAACATATATCACAAATCAATTAAAAAAAAAACAATTTACATTTAGATATTAAGCTAAAACTATAAAAATTGCTGCCCTAAGTCTTCCCCGTCGGCAAAGGTTCCCAGGACGCTGGCGGCATTTCCCTTGCTGAATGGCGAGGCTTATGCACTGGGCGAAATAGCCGCCAGCTCTGCGGTCTCCAGTGGTCTCCATTGAGAACTTGATCAGCAAAACATTATTGCTAGTCCACGATCCCGATATCGTTGTTGTTAGAACATTCAACAACTTCAGCTAGGGCTTTATGTGGAATTCACCTCTAAGTGTATTCTGGTGTTGGTAATTTTTCAGACGCTTCGGTCAACTCTGGGTTCGTACGACGGTCGCGTGTACGAGCGACTGATGGAGGAAGCCCTCAAGAGCCCCCTCAACCAGGAGCCCGTCAACCAGAGCTTCCACAAATACATCAAGCCTCTAATGAATAAGTTGTGAACAAGCTTGGATTAATTGTTACGAAGTTTGGTGTGCTGCTAATAAACGTTTAAGACCCGTTGTGTCACTTTATTTTAACCATCTTCAAAGTTAGAAAGAGGAGCTCGATGGCGCAAGTGGTTAGCGCATTGGGCTGCGATCATTGAAGTTAAGTAACTTTTGCAGTGATCGGTCATTGGATGGGTGACCAAAAATTTACTATCTCGAGCTCCTCGGTGCTTCGGAAGGCACGTTAAGCCGTTGGTCCCGGCTGCATTTGCAGTTGTTAGTGCCCGCCAATCCGCACTGGTGGTGGGTCATGGCCCAATCTCCCTATTCCATCCATAGGGAAGGCCTGTGCGCCAGCAGTGGGGACATTAATAGGCTGATGATGATGATGATGATCTTCAAAGTCATCATCATCATCATCATCAACAGTCCATCATAGTCCACTGCTGGACATAGGCCTCTCCAAATGCACGCCACTCAGATCGATCTTGGGCTACTCGCATCCAGCTCCTGCCAGCCACCTTGCGCAAATCGTCACTCCATCGTGCCTGAGGACGTCCTACACTACGTTTGCCTAGACGCGGTCTCCACTCGAGAACTTGTCTACCCCAACGGTTATCGGTTATTCGGCAAATATGGCCAGCCCACTGCCACTTCAACTTGCTAATCCGGTGGGCTATGTCGATAACTCTGGTTCTCTGTCAGATTACCTCATTTCTGATGCGATCCTTCAGAGAAACGCCGAGCATAGCCCTTTCCATAGCGCGCTGAGCTACTTTGAACCTGTGGACCAGCCATACCGTCAGTGTCCACGTCTCGGCTCCGTATGTCATCACAGGTAGGACGCACTGATTGAAGACTTTCGTCTTTAGGCACTGTGGGATTGACGATGTCAGGACTTGACGTAGCTTCCCAAAAAATAATTGGCTTCAAAGTAAAATAATTAATTTGTTCATCAGTAAATGTTTTTTTTTACTTGTTACTTCTGCATAATATCGAGTCCGAGAGATGTAGACCGATTTTGGTGATTCCTTTTCAGTTTTCTTTCGTGATGGTCTCTTAAGGCAGAACTTTAATAAACAGCCCTTGCCGAGTTTCCTGCCAGTTCTTCTCAGTACAAGGTCTCCTGCCGTAGATTTACGAACCGATGGCGTAGCACCAGACATTGATGAGTGCTTGTAACAGCCTAATCTGAATAAATGATTTTGATTGATTGATTTCATTAATACTCGCCAAACATTAAAAGGTCCCTTTCCGTTTGGTGAAGTAAGAGAATATTTTTTGAAGTGAAAACTTCTTTAGCGGCGTTGTACACTTTTTTTTGTATGGGTAAAAAATGTTAAACTCGCGTCGGGTTAAACACGTGGGCTGATCGCGTCATGACACACTATAAAATTGGAAAGACTTTCAATATATTAGGCGAAACATAGTAATATTTTATTTTATCGTGTTATAATAATAAGTTTCTATCTAGGACGTCCACGTGGCAGCTTTATTGCGAAGAAAATGCATATTTTTTACAATAGATGTCGCTAGGTGCGCTTAAATGTGATTCATGTAAGTTGATTTCTTTAAAGGAATGTAGTGCCCCATACAGCTAGAAATCTAGATTCAATATTATCTGATTTACATTAATGAGCCAGTCACGCTAAAAAGACTTCTTATTAGGAACCCCCATTTATATTAGTCGATATAAAATTGTCATATTAGAACAATTAAGTTGTTTTCGCTAGCGATATTGTAAACAAAATAAATATTCTTACCGTGGTAGGCATGTACGTACACGTGTAATCAGACGATATTTGAAATAAAGTACTTATCTAATCTCTTTTGTTTTGCGAACTTATATACATTTTATGTAATTATTACCGCATATATGAGTAATATCAACATACTGATACAGCTGAGCAACGCTTTGTGCTTGTAGAACTGTTTAGTTAATATTTTTTATTTATTAAAAAAATGTCTAGTGCTAAAGTGAATGAAGACTTGGATAGAGAAAGGAAAAAATGCGTCTTTAATATAGAAGAGTTGACGAATTTCTTGGATGGTGGATCGGAATCGACTAGGAGAAGGCGCGAAACTGGTAACATTATTGAGAGAATAACATTTGTCATTTGCATGCATAATTAAAAAATGGGTGCGTGTATTATGTAGGCGCGTGAGAAGTTATCCTTCTTTGGCATCGTTTAAAATTAGTTTTTAATTGCATGCAAATAATTAATTACAATAAATTAATAAAAAGTCTGGAAAAGGACACAGTCAATAAAGTTCAGTTTTAATTTGAAAAAATAAATAAATAATCAAAATATTCAATTAAAATCGCTACTGAATATAATTTATTAGAACATATGTGATTTGCACTTGTATGAAACTCAAACACGTATTCCGAATATACAAACTAGAAACATGTGGATAAATATTATAAATATGAATACCTATAACTGTTACTTTATTACAAAAAATAAAGATGTGGTTTTTGGTTCTACTACACCAATGGTCAAGAGATGGCGCTGTAGTCTCCTGAATCGCGCTTTGGTTCCGTTGTTCCAGATTAATAAATACATTTGATAGGCCTTCACAATGCAGTCGTTAGCACCCACAAAATAGAGATTCTATTTCTATTTTGTTGGTAGATTTTCTTAATGTGCGGTAAACACAAAAGTAACAGCATGAACGACCAACTTCATGCTGTTAATTTTTTGTGTTACAGTGATGCGCGCGTATCTTAAAATTTCACTCTCATCATTTTTTCATAACGCGCCTAAAGAAGTATAACTTCAAAAAGGTTTTTTTTTATGCAAAATAGGCAATGCGTTTGACCACAATCTTACCTGATGGAAAGCGATGATGAAGCCTAGGATGGTACACGCCTGCCTAGAAGATGCCTATTAACTATAATATTATATACTAATATGATATTTATTTATTTGACATACATTCGTCAAGTTCACAAACTTCAATATACATTTAAAGATGCAAGTAGTACTGAACCGTGTGAATTTCCATTATAGGCATGTACATCATTGACTTTATGTAGGTAGGTACTTTTATTTGTAACAGTAACAAATTACTGTTTATAAATTGTTTTTTTTAATCATTTTATAATTATTTAAAATGATTATTCCTATGTAAACATTTTAATATCTCATGTAACATTATAACAATGTTTGAACGAGTATGCTAAGTATGCAGGCATTTATTCTAATAAATCATTCATAAATTCTGGAATGTAATTTATATTATACTTGATGTAAACAGAAAATAAAATACTCAGTATTAAGGGCATCAGAGACGTGGTCCCTGAAGAGTACCTTAGTCATAAGGAACGATATGAGAATGCGATAAGGAAGGCGGTGCTGTACTATAGAGCAGCAAAGCAGATGGAGGATTCTACTAAAAGCGTCTTCGAAAACTTTAGGTAAGTTTAAATTCTACTTTGCGATCCATGCTTATATTATAAATGGAAAATGTGTCTGTTTATGACCTCTTATTTTTAGACTATTGGACCCATTTAGGTGGAAATTTGATATTGAAATAGTTTGAACCTATATGGAAAGAGCAAAGAATAGTTTTTATCTCAGAAATCATCCTGAAAGGGGATGAAAAGGGGGGTGGAAAGTATTGGATATCAAATTTTCCACACAGACTAAGTCGCGGGCATCCAGAAGTCGTCCATAAATTACTTAGTATTTTTCTTCTCTGGTGATAATTTTAGGTAACCCCCCCCCCCCTCCAGTATCTCTGCTAAATTACTAATTATTTTTTTAGATAATCTGATTATTGCCTAGGACAAGAGCTGCTTTTCGGTTTGTATAGAAATTTAAAAAAAATAGATACTTATACGCGATAAGTTACAGCATCAATATTCCCCTATCGTTCATGTTTTTTTTCAAACTTAACTTCTTTAAGAAATCTTCATCTTTCAGAAAAAAGATCCTCCGGTTTTGTTTAGGAAAATTTGAAAGGGTGGTACAGCACTTAAGCAACATTTTAATTGGCACTTAAGTCAACCACGGACATTCTCAGACAGACGCTGCCGTCCGCCGACGGCTGACGACCAAAACATTTAAATTGCATTAAATTTTATGCTGTATCTTTAATTATGATAAGAAAAGAACGGGAAAACAAGCACTCAATACATCATTAAATTTCACTACTTCTGAGCGACTTAAAGTGTCTATTTAAAATTTTTCTCATGTAATATTCTAGAATGAATTTCCGAAACTCGATAATGTGGGCTGTGTTCAAAGACAACAGTCCATTCGGCTTGCATTACGCTATGTTCCTGCCGACTATAGAGGGCCAAGCTGATGACAAACAGAAAGAGTATTGGCTGAAGAGGGCGAACAACTTAGAAATAATCGGAACATATGCTCAGGTAGACAACTTTAAATTGATACTTCAAATATTTAGGTCCTTTACAACCCACATGTTTTAGTTCGCTAGTTCTTAGAAGTTTTGCGATATCTACTTTGTGAAAGAGAGTAAAACACTGATAGTTATGTATATTTCGGATGAAAAAGTGAAATTTCATTAAGATAAATTGTTTGTATACTTAGGATTCAAGACAATTTCTCCACATTTGTCGGACATATGAAAGACAGATAATGAAATTGCGCCGCATTTATCGGACATGTGAAAGACAGCAAAGATATTAGGCATCTTGCTATGGAACTTGAAAGATGTGGGGGAAGATTTTGTCCTAGTAGTATGCATGTGTGACCGTTTGTATGTTATTTAAACACGCAAAAATGGTTTAACTTACTTGTATGAAATCCCTTTTGATAATTAAGCAACTGAATTAAATAATAAATAGGTAATTTTTGTACTAAAAATTGTCACATTTCAGTAGAATCTCCAAAACTTTTTGGGTACCTGCTGTGGTTAATTTTATGATTTTTAATTCCCATAGAAGTTTAAGTATGGATTTTTAGAATTCTGAGGTCCAAGCGAACATAGGCAAGGCTAAAGTTTAGTAATAAATTACAATTAGTAACGGACTTTGCCTGAGCGTTGTAATAGATTACATACACAACTATTTATCTTATCTGATTTCTGGGCTTCAAACAATCTTTATTGCTTGAGTTATCTTTATAAATAGTGTTTACAGAAAGGTTCAATAGCATCTTTGATAACTTGTTATAACACTCGTTTTAACATGGCTGTTTTTTTTTGTGATTTAGTAGTCAAGTTTAGTCCATAAGTTTCATAGGATTAGTTTAGTCAAAGACGAGGTGACATGCTGAAAATTTGCAGAGTCCTTCTTATTTGACTAGGCTAAGTTGTAGTTCTGTAATTTCAGACCGAGCTTGGTCATGGTACGTTCATTCGAGGCCTGGAGACTACCGCCACCTATGATGCAGAGACAGAGGAGTTCATCTTGCACAGTCCCACTCTCACGGCTTACAAGTGGTGGCCTGGAAATTGTGTGTACATCAATTTTATATCCTGAAACCACGACAACTTCTAATTCTCACGACAATTCACTTCTACATTTCAATTTTATAGATTTTTCAATATTCCTTTGATTCATCCTCTTCTTTAGGATAGGATTTTCCACGAGAGAAAGTATTTATTTCTTTACATAGACACACTGATCTTTCGAATTCAAGATATACTACAGTGGATAAGGAGAGGAAGGTATGACTTCGACGAATACGAGTGCCAATGGAATTCGGGTAAACGACTAAGTGTAAATGAACGGAGTCCATTACGTAGTAGTATTGGGGATGTTTTCGTTTTGGTTACCCGACACAGCCTTACAACCCGTATTTCATTGTAAATATTGCTTCGGACACCCGAATTCGAGTAATGTCTTTCGTGCACCCGAATACGGGCTAACGGCCAAGTGTAATTGTGCCATTAGACTTTTGACACAGACTCTACGTAGAGTATGAACACAAATCACTAATTAAACTAAAAATATAGAAAATATACACATTCTATATCGATAACATTCATTTCTTAAAACCATTCCATCATCAGTTACTTTAGGATGTATGATGTGTATTGCTGTAGGTGTATGTAATCATAAATAATAAAATAAAATCAGTTTTAAAAAATAACATGCTACTTATATCTATTTTCGTTTTTTTCCATCACAGTGGGACAAACAGTAAATTACTGCATCGTGATAGCGCAACTCATAATCAATGGGAAGAATTATGGAACCCAACCTTTTATGGTGCAGGTGCGTGATGAAGAGACTCACGCGCCTTTGCCAGGGATCAAGATAGGGGAGATCGGACCCAAGCTCGGGTTCAACACAGTCAATAATGGATTCTTAGGCTTTGATCATCACAGAATACCTAGAGATCGAATGCTCATGAAGAACACGCAGGTCCTGAAGGTTAGAAAACTGGATAATTTTATTGATAAATTTGGTACCAAATTAAAAAATGTAGCCTTTTTAGATCCTTTTTATACGAGAAGCAAAACACATCGATCTGGTTTTCATAGTACAGAAGCTTAAATTCTTATCTTATATTCACGGGATGCCTATATTTCAACTATTTTAAATTATCCTGGATTTCGTCTTAATTAGATTTGTTGTTCGTTTTAATAATTGTGACTGTGAGCCATCAGTATTTTTACAAGCATTTACAATACGTGTATGTCGAAGTGTACTCATGTTTCTGACAAGAATATTGATAATGTTTTGTTTACATTCACCTTTTTTGTTATAAAGTTCTTTGTTGATTTATAAATCTAAAACTTATTCTTTACTATAAAAATCCACTATATTTCATGTATCGGTCCAGACAGCGGAAGACGCGGGTTCGACTCCAGTCTGACATCCTGAACGAGTTTAATTTTTTCTTGCAAAATTTTTCCCTATATTTGATACCTGTTTCAGGACGGCACTGTCGTGGCGTCTCCGAATAGCAAGCTGGCATACTTCACGATGGTGTTCGTCAGAGTAACGATTGTGATGAACTCTGCCAACACCATGGCGAGAGCTGCCACTGTGGCCATCAGATACTCCGCCATCAGGAGGCAGTCGAAGATCAGGCCTGGGTAGGTTATCTTCTTATAACTCATTCGCGTTTAAATTCTCACCCAATGATAACAAATATCTGTCAATGTTGCAAGTATTCTTCAACGTTTTGTAAAATCTTGTGTTGGCATCACGTAAGCAAATAAAATAGTTATCACTGCTTTGAAGAAAGTAAACTGATTATTTAGAGGCAATACAATTAACCGAATTACAGAAAATTTGGGAAAAATGTGTCTATTCTTTTTATTTTTCCAGAGAACCCGAACCCCAGATCTTAGATTTTGTATCTCAGCAGCACAAACTGTTGATTGGCATCGCTTCCTACTATGCCTTTAGCATGACGGCCATGTGGTTGTGGGACATCTTCGCAAAGTTTACCTCGGAGTTAGCTGCGGGGAAACTAAATCAATTACCAGAGGTATAAAGGATAGAAAAAACTAGATAATCTGAACTACATCATTTGGAGGTCGTATACCAAATGTGCCATCTTTGTGGTGTAAGTTGTGTATTCAATTGTGTAATACCTTCTGTCATACCCTTGAAGCAACCCCATCTCGCAGGAGGCAGATGCGACTTGCTGGCCTATGAAATGACTTCACCCCACATAATTAAGGGGTATTAAGATAAATGGTGCAGCCACTTTTACATTGCGTTTAGACCGATCCCCTGACCCTTAAACCACCGCAAACTAATTAACTTCAAAAATAATAATGTTATTTAGCTGCAGTCTGTTGAAAGATAAGTAGTGCATTATAAAAGGAGGATGTTATTTTGTTAGTGGGCGATATCTATTTGAAATCAAGGGTCCATTCTGTGCTGGTGCTGTGACGGAGTAACGATAAGTTTGCAGTAACACTTTAATAATAGAACTAACAATGCCACACGGTAGGAATGCCCCTAATAACTTTAATATAAGTGACCATGACAATTTAAAACAGTATTGAGTATAGGATTTAATTTTGGTAGAAATTTGCTTCCAGCTCCATGCATTGTCGTGCTGCCTGAAGGCACTTAGCTCCAGCGACTGCGCAGCGCTGGTGGAGCGATTCCGTCAGGCATGCGGTGGCCACGGCTACCTCCTGTCTTCCAACCTCCCGCAGCTATACGGCCTCGCAACTGCCGCCTGCACCTATGAGGGAGAGAACACTGTTATGTACCTACAGACCGCTAGGTAAATCTGATTTTAAGGCTTCACTGAGGATTGAGGAATAATATGTTCTATATTGAGAAAATGAACGGCAGCAGTTGTAGTGCAAGAAGGTTGGAAATGCGCTTAGGTTAGGTTAGGTTAGCGAAGGGCTAACATGCTCTTATTCTGCAGAAGCATATGACTGCCCAGTAGAAGTGCTTGGCATCAGACTGTAAGCTACATTTTAAATGATGTAAATATAACAATAAAAAAGATAATAAAAATGCAGACACATACAATTAAGATGCTTCTTTTCTTTTTTAGGTCACTGGCAAAAGCCTGGCGGCAGGCGAACGAGGGCAAAGATCTATTCGATACTATGGGTTACCTGGCAGATAAGAGTTCCATGAAACAATGGGATGGCTCCCTCGGCTGCATCGTTACAGGTTTCCAGAAAGTCGCTGCTGGGTATGTTTATCTTCTACATCTCTGTTCTTTATGTCACAGCCACAGCATTCAGCACGCGAAATCCATGGTATAGAAAGCATCTAGCGGTCATGGTTAGGTTAGTGTCATCTGCTTTTTGTTTAGCTTTTTTGGGTTATGTCCGGCAAAATTTTTGTGTGTCCGGCTTTTCCGGCTCGATGGGCATTTCAGCTAACTTTTCGATATTGCATTGCACACTAGCATGGCGAGGAAGGAAAATAGTTAATGTCCGGCTTTTAGGGACAATTGGCAACATTAGCCATGATAGTTGCTTACTTTTTTGGCGAGAGCTTGTGTACAACACTTTTGAACAACAAAAAAAAAACACTGTTTACGATAGTAATATTTTATTATTTATCCTTGCTACAGAAAATTGGCTACAAGTATGCAGAACTTTGATAAATATCGGAAATCTGGGTTGTCCTATGAAGATGCTTGGAATAAATGTTCAGTCCAACTTATCGGAGCGGCTGAGGTTAGTAAACAGTTTCTAAATATTTTTCTAGAAGATACAGTTGCAACAACACCAAGAACCTTTATTATAATATTAACAAGTCATAATAGATTATATACTCTTTCTAATGTAAAGAATATCTGGCGCCGTGGACAAGTAGCCATCTTTCTAATAGAGCGAAATCTTGTTTGTTCTAGGCACACGGTCGAGCCATAATTATGAAGATGTTCAGAAGTGAGGTGGAGAGGACTGTCCCTGCGCTGTCGAACCAACTACAGACTGTGATAAGACAGCTTGTGCAGTTGTACTTCTACTACTGGACCATTGAGAAGCTGGGAGACTTGTTGTTGGTGAGTTGTGCCACAACTATGATGTTTTTCAGATACAAAGTGGAGAGGACTCTTTCCGTGCTATTGAAACAACTACAGGCTGTGATATAGATACAGCTGGTGCAGCTTTACCTCTACTACTAGACTGTTGTGAAACTGCGAGATTTGTTCTTGGTGGGTTGTGTCATAACTATGATGTCGTTCGATACAAAGTAAAGAGGACTGTTTCCCTGCTATCGAACCAAGTACAAACTGTGATATAGATACAGCAAGTGGAGCTTTGCCTCTACTACTAGACTGTTGAGAAACTGGGATATTTGTTGTTGATGGCTTGTGTCATAATTATGATGATGTTAAGACTTGAGGTGAAAAGGACTGTCTCCACGCTGTTGAACCAGCTACAGATTGTGAATCTTTACAACAAGGCAATTCAGAAGCTTGGAGTCTTGTTGTTAGTGAGTTGTGCCGTAATCATGAAGATTTTCAGACTTGAGGTGAAGAGAACTGTCTCCACACTGTTGAACTAGCTACAGATTGTGAAGCTCTACTACTGGGCCATTGAAAAGCTGGGGGACCTGTTGTTGGTTAGTTGTGCCGTAATCATGAAGACGTTCAAACAGGAGGTGAAGAGGACTGCCCCCGCGTTGTCGAAATAAATGCAACCGGTGTTGCGGTAGTTGGTGTAGCCAGTTTTATCTTTGCTGCTGAACTAGTGCGAGGCTGTTCTGGTGAGATGTACTTAGGAAAATCATATTTAGAAGTAGAATAGTGTTAATAAAGAAATATTTTATTAATCACATATCGTTATCATAATCATATAAACGATTGTACTTCTGCGGCATTCAAATTCATACATTCGAGGGGCTCGATGGTGCAGAGGAGTTCGATGGCGCAAGTGGTTAGCGCCTTCGGCTGCTATCGTTGAAGTTAAGCAACTTTCAGTGGTCGGTCATTGGATGGGTAACCAAAAATTTACTATCTCGAACTTCTCGGTGCTTCGGAAGGCACGTTAAGCTGTTGGTCCCGGTTGCATCTGCAACTGCAACTGCGGTGACGACCGCAGATACAACCCCACCAATCCGCACTGGGCCCTCGTGGATGATCATGACCCAATCTCCCTAAGGGAGGCCTCTGCCCCAGCAGTGACGACATTAATAGGCTGATAATGATGATGAAATTCATAATAAACAGCATAAATAAAATGAACGATAGTCCACAACGCGAGCCGAATTCGGAAATGTGGGTTACTGGCTACTTATTATAATGTTTTCTGCATTTTTAGCGTTCATTATTCTATATTTTTAAATTTATAAATTGAAGCCTATAATTATATTTTTCCGTAGCTTTTATTGATCTCTTAAGAGTGCCATTAATTCCTACTTTGCAGTTAAGATTGTATAATCAAACAGGTTTATTCTATTAACGCGTCCATTCACGAGAATCATACAGTAGCTTATTTTAATAATTTAACAGAACTTTTCAAATTGGTGTCAGGGTGATTGATAAAATCTGCCGTTAAAAACTTTTATGACAATAATTAAATGTCATAAGATGTTACTCCTTTAAAAGTCTCCAATTAGTACAATTTACACGATAAACAAGAAACAGATAGATACATAGACAATTTGTTGCTCGTACACAACGAAAAAAAACATTAGGATTAGATTGTGAGACTTATTGGCTATGTGGGCAAATGCGGCGATCTCTTCCAAACAACAATTAATGCATATGATAAAGTAATGAGAATAGCATATACCTAATCATTAATAAGTATAAATAAACTAACATAGCAACATTATTCTAAGAATTAACTGTTCAATAAAGTAAAAAAAAGTATATAAACGCCACAGAAGTTCGGAGATTGTTAATAAAAATAAATTATGAAATTTCTACAAACGCACTCAGTTGCTTTTATATAAAAGTGACAAGGAGTTAAAAATTATTCAACACTATTTTGAATAACATTCATCTTAATATTATGCTCAAATTTTCCGTTCATTCCATAAAGTTATGTTGATTAGAACACTAAAAGTAATATATGTTGTTTCTACGGAAACCGAACTCATAAATTTGGAAAGTGGATCGATGATAACATTTTTATTAGTAGATATTATTCATTTCACATATAGAGGGTTCACAGTTATTTATTTATAGTACGGTGTTAGAAAAACATTAATTTCGTGACAGCAAGGAAGCAGAGTGGCACAGATAGATTGTTACTTTATGACAAGTTTAGAAACTGGTTTTAGACTCCGCGGGAAGGGTTTATACGAGCTACCACTATCAATATATCTACATGAAATTTTGGAAATAATATCTTTTATATATATATATATATATATATATATAACTCAAAGGAGACTGACTGACATAGTAATCTATCAACGCACAGCCCAAACCACTGGACGGATCGGGCTAAGAAAGGATTTTGATCAATTCTACCCCCAAGGGGATAAAATAGGGAATGAAAGTTTGTGTGAAACTTTGTCAATTTTAAACCGATCGGGCAGAGACTTTGCAGGTATAAGAAGAATCATAGATGAATGTCATTGTGTATAATACAAGCCTGAGAACAAAAACTGTAGTCTACACTTCAGTTCTACACCGAAGCGAAGCGAGGGCGGGCCGCTAGTGTTTTTATATTAGGCACAGCAAACCCAACCTAATGTAAGTTAATGTAATAAGTCCAGATCTATAGAAACATTAACCTCGTTATTAATAAACGAGGATTAAGCTTAGACTATTTACCCCGTGTTTTGTTCATATCACTCAAATGCCATTTGTAATTCAACGAAAAGACACAAAACATGGAGTAACTAATCCAAGCTTATTCTTCGTTTATTAATAACGGGGTTAAAGTATAGATATATCCGGGAGTTGGAGAGTTCCGGGAAAGGACATTGGATACTTTTATCCCGGAAAAATGTAGGGTTCCTGTGGGATTCCCAAAACAATATGAAGCAGACGCGATATATAACTCAACGAAATTACTTAGCAAAAACATCATCAGACCGACTGTCTACGATGATAATAAATAATAAATAAATATTTCCAATACTCACTCCAATTAGCCTAGCCCCAAAGTAAGCACTGTAAGGCTTGTGTTATGGGATACTATAAGTAACGGATAGAATACATATACTGTACATATATAAGTATAATTACATAGAAATACATATAAAACAGCTATGACTGGAGTACAAATGCTCGTATTTATCACAGTAACATCTGCCCCCACCGGGATTCGAACCCGGGACCTCTCGAGTCGGCGACACCATGAAACCCGGCGTACAAACCACTCGACCACATAGGTCGTCAATAATGATATATGCTTGCTTATTTTTTACTTAATGTAATTTTGTATTTATACAATTTTTAACATTCATTTGATAAATTGCGAAGAGTGCGGGTTCGAGTCCCGTCCGCTGCCTGGTCCGCGTGGATTTTTTTCTAGTAAACTTTTCTTTAGATTTAAACATCTAGCAGTTCAATGCTTAAGAAAACATAACTACAAGTTCATTTGTTTATTTCCCCATTATCTAATTAAAGTTTTCTATTGAAAGACCTTACAAGAAAAAAGATTAACTCGAGATCAAGTTGTTTTTATTATTACACTGGTGTCGATTCTGGCATGATTCTCTAAACCTAAACTTAAATTTGACAACAGTGGTGTCGATTCTGGGACGATTCTCCAAATCTAAACTTAAATTTGACAACAGTGTTTCCTTTTCATTCTCTATACAGAATGAAAAAGAGAGACTGATGTTAAATTTAGTTTTAAGTTTAGAGAATTACGCCAGAATCGACACCAATGTATCCTTGTCATTCTCTATACAGAATGAAAAGGAAAGACTGATGTTAAATTTAGTTTTAAGTTTAGAGAATCATGCCAGAATCGATACCACTGTATAATTACAATTCTATCACATTATAATGTGTTTATAGTAATTTCTTAATTGAGTATAGACCGTATAGTCGAACCCACCTCAAACTTTAATTAATGTTAAATAAGAGAGTGTTAAGTATTTTTAAATCTCTATAAATTATCATAAAGGAAGTCGATTAGCATATTAAGTTGCCGTGATTCTTATAGTTATTTCTTGGCGAGCCTTCGTGTTTAGCATGCTCGAATTGACATAAATCTTTTCTCATACATTATTATGTATGGCTTATTGATTTATATTGATTAATTATAGTAATAATAAAGAGTATTTTATAAATTTTTAATCTACAGTAAAGTTGAGCTATTACTGTCGACATTATATTATTGTTTGTGAGTTTAATCATGACACAGAAATCGGTAAAAGCACTGTATTTTTCTAGTAAGTGTAAGTACTTGCAAAGGAGGCCGATTTAATAAATTACAAACTATTCTAAATGCTACCAATTCGCACTAAGCCCTCGTGGTGGGTCACGACCCACTTCCTTAATCTATCAATTGGAAAGGCCTGCGCCCCTGCAGGGGGGACAATAATAGGGTATTTGACAGTATTAAAAATAAAGTGCCAATTGTTAGCATCTGTGTTTACAATGAATATTGGCAGGGGTTTTTACTATTTTTACAAAAAACATATTCTTTATTTTTCTAAAAACCCACGATAGTTTTCTTATCTATTGTCACGTGACACAAAACGCTTGGGTTTGGCGGAGCCTAAAATGACGTCACACGCAAGAAAACTTCCGGTTAAAGTGACATAACATTGTATCGTTTGACGTTTTAATAACAGTCGTGCGACGTCATTCACACACTAGTAAGACGCCATATTGTCTAGAAAAACGTTTTCGTGGCAACTTGAAAATGGAGTTTTTGATTTGGTTATTTTTACTGAAATACACAACAGAATGATGAATATCCATCCTTTTAACGGACTCCTTAAACATTAGTCAATAACGTGACATCGTTTTCTAAAACTTGTCAAATACTCTTTTGGTTGTTGAGAATTACACTAAATACCGTCTAAAACCTAGACCGAGAGGAACGTTATCTAGTAATTTTTTCTTTAGATTTAAGCATCTAGCAG